TTAAATTCCAGAAGAAGATACTAGCTCACCCTCCCTCTCCCTACTTCTTTAAAGGGGATAACTTGACCTTGTCAGATATTTTGCTGTTATGATAATTGATCGTTTTATCAAGATAACGAAGTGATGTAGAATGGGGATAATCCACCAATACAGCTGAAGTACATAATGAGCTACACCAAATAAAGCTCACTATGGGACCCAAGTCCCAATCCTTCCCAAGATTGCTTCATCTCTAAAGCCCACGCCATCTGGCATTTCCTTTTCATCTACCTCAGAAGCCTAGTTTTTTAATGTTATTGTATTGTAAACTTAAAACATTTTGTCCACCCTGTCCACTGCACCCTTGCACGTCACACACCCCTACATCATTGTCACCACTACATCATACTATATAATCACCCCTTCACAACATCATCCCCAGCTGAAGATGATTTACACATGTATTTTGAAATCTCCTGCTAAAAACAAACTTTTCTTATCACTTATATGTTTTAAATAATCCCCTCCAGGTTACAGCCGAAGGGGTTTTTAAATATATATATACATATTATATACTCCTTTATAAATATTATAATACAAATACAATACAATAGTGCAGTCTCGTTAATCTAATTCTATATATTAAGCTTGTGTACAATTGCCTTGTCCGCTCTGTCCAGCGCGTTATGCTGTGTATTGACTATGTATCAGTGCTGTTACCATGGTTACGAGCGCATCACCGTACCTCACGCGTACTTCAGGTATGTAATTAGTTCCCAAATTAAGTCTGATTCTTATGAAGTAGGAATGATAATTAGTAGTAGTATTGTTGTGTGTGGTCTATGAGTGTGGTCCGTGCGTGACTACACAGCATTTCTTACTAAGGATAGTGAGTATCAGAGTGCGTGACTACACAGCATTTCTTACTAAGGATAGTGAGTATCAGAGTGCGTGACTACACAGCATTTCTTACTAAGGATAGTGAGTATCAGAGTGCGTGACTACACAGCATTTCTTACTAAGGATAGTGAGTATCAGAGTGCGTGACTACACAGCATTTCTTACTAAGGATAGTGAGTATCAGAGTGCGTGACTACACAGCATTTCTTACTAAGGATAGTGAGTATCAGAGTGCGTGACTACACAGCATTTCTTACTAAGGATAGTGAGTATCAGAGTGCGTGACTACACAGCATTTCTTACTAAGGATAGTGAGTATCAGAGTGCGTGACTACACAGCATTCCTTACTAAGGATAGTGAGTATCAGAGTGCGTGACTACACAGCATTCTTACTAAGGATAGTGAGTATCAGAGTGCGTGACTACACAGCATTTCTTACTAAGGATAGTGAGTATCAGAGTGCGTGACTACACAGCATTTCTTACTAAGGATAGTGAGTATCAGAGTGCGTGACTACACAGCATTTCTTACTAAGGATAGTGAGTATCAGAGTGGTAATGATATTAATAATGATATCAGTATATTGATTGTATCACTAGGTGTGAAGCTAGGAAATGAACAGCTTACTAGTTTGTATGAGAGCGAATACTAGTAAGATATATAATCTTGATATACGCTACCTGTATAGCCCCATGTACGGACTTTGCTTGTGTTAAATCAGTGTTACTTTGTATTACTTTTCCAATAGTTCGAAGTAAACTGAATAAAACTGGGCAGAATTAGAATGATATCAGAGCCTTCCTGACGCAGACTACTCCATAATGATAAAACATTAATAACGTCTAAAATCGTCTATATCTGATTCTTAGAGCAATGATAAAAGACATTTTTAAAGGTGTAAAAGCTTTGAATAAACCGAATAAATAACACCTACTATATGCTTGTAGATTCTCTTATTGACGCCATTCATCGTTAAAAATAGTCTGTAATTCAAGTTAATAGCAGGATTTGTTTTTATCGGAGCGCGCCTCCAAACACCCCCCCCCCCCCCCCCCCCCCCCGGCTCCGGCCCCCATGTCAGAAGCAATCATGAGGTGCTGAGTGTTCGCCTATTTGCTTGCTTACAATAGAGGCAATAAGAAGATTGGTAACGTGGTAACGACAGACTGTATCTTAGGGCGGCTATTCTAGTATTCACAACGACATTTGACACTGGTACCATCTAGTAGTTATTCTGCAGCTTTTAGTTTGTTATAATACTGGATTGGTTAAATACTGGAAGCTGATTCATGGTTAAATAATGGCTAAACTTCCCACCAGTTTCACGATTTACGTCTGTTTTATGATGTTCATTTAGCTTCTTTAGGTTCAGATATGAAAGTTAACATGACCTTTGCTCCTTCATAAAGATATTTGTCAAATGGTTTAAACGTTCGAGTTAAACTGCATAAGTTCACATGAGAGCCACGTTGTGATTTCCGATTAGGAACGTAACTTATCTTTTAGGCTTATCTTTCAGGCTGCTACTTGTGTTGTTATACCTTTATACACTGTTATTTACACTTGTAATTGCTGACACACGAATGATGGCTTGTAGTGACTCACAACAATTGTCCGCCGTATTACTGCTGACCGTTCTTACATCAGCGACTGATTCGGTCGAAATCTAATAAGCTGTTAATGTGCGATCAGGAGTTTTCGTTTTTAGCTGCCAAATATCCTTATCAAATTATATGTAGTCAGCTAATCATCTCTGCTTTGTCTGCAACCAAGCTACTCCTTCATAAACCAAGTCATACGTGCTCACATCCAATTGCTTCTGGGCTTCTTTTGCGAGCAAAAGATCATCGACCAGAATTGTCGGGAAAATCTGCCGTAAATATTAATCTATATTTCCTACACAATGCGTACATTGGACTTTCATTAACCAATCTCTGTGACTTATGAGCTGAACACTTCAATTAACACTACTCCTTCATAAATACAATTAACACTCCACGAGATAACTTATTCCTCATTATACGAACTTCTTCTTGACAATCACCCAGCTACTCCTTCATAAACTATTTAATTACTAACTACTCCTACCCGGACACGAGTACTTCAGGTTTGCTTGTTGGAACAGCAACTGTATTGTATATCAAGCTATTGTAATGTTTTTACTCCTCCTCCTCTTCTGAAGTAGAAGCCAGTGATCTGTGAGTTAAGCATTAAACACTTGTTTACCCAGCTACTCCTTCATAAACTATTTAATTAAACACTTGTTGGTCCCACAGTGCTTATTGTTTTACTAACTCTCACAATTCCGTCGATAGTTTCCTAATTTGAGTAATTTGAGCGTTTCGCACTTTCCGCTTTTAATTTGGTACATAGTTGCAGTAATGAGTTAACTTTACAAGTTTACAACTGGTCGCTGCTGATGCATATCTGTAGTTAGGTTATATCAGATATTACACCGTATTTTTACTGATACTATATCAGATATTACTCCGTATTTTTACTGACTTCTTTTAATCTCCTAGTTTTGCCTCCTACAAAACTGTATTGTATACAATACAATACAAAACTGTACGATTTATCTTTTTGGCTAATTCATTTTTGCCTGTTTGTCATGATATTAGTAATTTTCACAGATAAATAAGAATATCGCTAACTAATCTTTTCTATGTTTATATTATTAAGGGCAGCTCTCCAGATCACGGTGTGAGAGGTAAGGCTCTTAATAAGTTAATAGTAACAAATTAGAATGATTAATTAATTAAATAAGAATAAGTTAGTAGACTGCTACTAGCAGACTGATAAGGTAGACTTGTCTTGATGAACTTTATAATTCATGTTCTAAGGCTGCCTGTAAACTGCCCTGTAGCGTTAGTTTAACATACTGTTATGTGATTCCCGTACTGTAGTGCAACACGTACTGTAGTGCGACACGTACTGTAGTGCGACACGTACTGTAGTGCAACACGTACTGTAGTTCGACACGTACTGTAGTGCAACACGTACTTTAGTGCGACACGTACTGTAGTGAAACACGTACTGTAGTGCGACGCGTACCCTAATGCGACACGTACCCTAGTGCGAAAACCTCCAAGATCGACACTCTCGCACTACGTTACCCGGACTGTAGTGCGACAAGAACTTAAGTGTCACAAAGAGTTCTCTGCGACCTGCGTTGTATTCCGGGACCAGGTCGTGTTTCCTGGCGGGTATGTGGTGGAAGAAGCATCCTATGGGGCAGGTCGTCTCCACAGTGTCGATCAGGGCTCTCTCGTAGTCACTCATCACAGATTCAGGGCTGTCTTCAAAGGCAGGGAGCTCATCCAGGAGGGCTTTGTAATGAGCTTGTGTCTTTCCGAGGAGTAAGCAGAATGCTTACAGCCTTCAGGATACAGTCCGCGGACAGTCACCAACTGTGTCGTCGTAGGTCTTGTCGTCGCGCTTCTTATCCAGGCAGTAGCGGTATCCGTCGTGGATAACGTTTCTTGAACCAGAAGTATGCTTCGGTAGAATCATCGTGACCTTCTGTATGGCCCAAGCATATAAACTTGTTATCCCAATCAGAGATATGTCTTTATACGATGCGTGTGATAGGAATTAGGATCATCTGCTGCTTACGACTGGATCAGTGGATCACTTCGAAATACCGAATACGTGACGTGAGCCGAATCGACGAATCACTTAATGGTCCATAAGAAGGATAGGATCTGACCTGAACTTGGAGATATGACAGGATCTGGTGTCGCACTACAGTACGCTACCTGGAGTGTAGTGCGACACGAACTCTAGTGCGAAAGAGGGAGGTCTTGTCGAACTTCAGGTTTCGCACTACAGTACGTGTCGCACTACAGTACGTTTACCGTTTTAACAGATCTTAGTTTACATGATTTATAAGAATAGTTTTGTAAAGGAATATTGTTATAAGAACAGAGTGAAGGAATTGTTTTGTGTTCAGTATTTTTACGTGAAGCTTTTACAGCTGATTAGTTTTTGTTTACAGTTCGGTAAACTGTATTTGCTTTGAAATGCTTGTTATTTGTATATAATATAGTATATAGTATATAGTACTACTTGTTCACTATTTATTTACAAACAACTAAATGTGATGCATGAATTACATTCTAGTTGATTTATCTAATGAAGACTGACTTCTAGGAGAAATGCTAGCATGTTGCAGGGCCGCTAGGGACCGTGAAACAAGCGAGAGAAGTGAAAGAGAAACTGAAAGTGAAAGTGAAAGTATTGGATGGGTAGCACCAAGAACTGCTTGCCGGCAGGATCATGGAGAAAATTCATAATCTCAACCACTGTCCCTTTTGTTGGGGGCCTCATCTTTATCCTTATCTGGAGACTCATCAGTAAGTAAAACAGCCGCTCATACCTCTCGAGCAAGTAGCTTAAATACTGGTTTCCATGAACTGTTAAGGACTGATATTATATATTATTATATTATTATTATATGATATTATATATTATATATTATCGTCTCAACTAAGATGTGATACCCTCAGGAAGCGTGTACATTTACATAATGCAGAAGGGAAAGAAGACTAGCGGCAGCGCAAGAGACATGTGCCTGGCCCGCATCTTCCGTCGCGTCTTCAGTGTCCAAAGAATGGTAAAGATATTTGCCGAGGATCTCAGCTATCCTAAAACTAGGAAGGGCCGGATAATGGTGAGTCAATCTCGTTTAATAATTTAATAATTCCAACTTTTTAAAATTCGTCATTTCCTTCCCGTCGCATTCTGCTCATGTTCACTGAAAGTGTTATTAGGTGCGTATGTGTAGTGGTAGGTGGTTGTGGAATGTGGCTAAGATCACCTGATCTCAGTGTTTATTCGCTGAACTGTGCACCAAATTAGTGAATCAATGGCTATAGAGCGTTTCAGATGAAATTACATGTGAATTCATCTCTCAAGTACAAGGGATGTCTGTTAAATTAATAGTAAACATGGTATGTTACCATAGTAACATGGTATGTTACCAGAGTAACATGGCATGTTACCATAGTAACATGATATGTTACCATAGTAACATGGTATGTTACCATAGTAACATGGTATGTTACCATTATAGTAACATGGTATGTTACCATAGTAACATGGTATGTTAACATAGTAACATGGTATGTTACCATAGTAACATGGTATGTTACCATTATAGTAACATGGTGTGTTACCATAGTAACATGGTGTGTTACCATAGTAACATGGTGTGTTACCATAGTAACATGGTGTGTTACCATAGTAACATGGTGTGTTACCATAGTAACATGGTGTGTTACCATAGTAACATGGTGTGTTACCATAGTAACATGGTGTGTTACCATAGTAACATGGTGTGTTACCATAGTAACATGGTGTGTTACCATAGTAACATGGTGTGTTACCATAGTAACATGGTGTGTTACCATAGTAACATGGTGTGTTACCATAGTAACATGGTGTGTTACCATAGTAACATGGTGTGTTACCATAGTAACATGGTGTGTTACCATAGTAACATGGTGTGTTACCATAGTAACATGGTGTGTTACCATAGTAACATGGTGTGTTACCATAGTAACATGGTGTGTTACCATAGTAACATGGTGTGTTACCATAGTAACATGGTGTGTTACCATTATAGTAACATGGTGTGTTACCATAGTAACATGGTGTGTTACCATAGTAACATGGTGTGTTACCATTATAGTAACATGGTGTGTTACCATAGTAACATGGTGTGTTACCATAGTAACATGGTGTGTTACCATAGTAACATGGTGTGTTACCATTATAGTAACATGGTGTGTTACCATAGTAACATGGTGTGTTACCATAGTAACATGGTGTGTTACCATAGTAACATGGTGTGTTACCATTATAGTAACATGGTGTGTTACCATAGTAACATGGTGTGTTACCATAGTAACATGGTGTGTTACCATAGTAACATGGTGTGTTACCATAGTAACATGGTGTGTTACCATAGTAACATGGTGTGTTACCATAGTAACATGGTGTGTTACCATAGTAACATGGTGTGTTACCATAGTAACATGGTGTGTTACCATAGTAACATGGTGTGTTACCATAGTAACATGGTGTGTTACCATAGTAACATGGTGTGTTACCATAGTAACATGGTGTGTTACCATAGTAACATGGTGTGTTACCATAGTAACATGGTGTGTTACCATAGTAACATGGTGTGTTACCATAGTAACATGGTGTGTTACCATAGTAACATGGTATGTTACCATAGTAACATGGTATGTTACCATAGTAACATGGTATGTTACCATAGTAACATGGTATGTTACCATAGTAACATGGTATGTTACCATAGTAACATAGCACCTAGTGATCACGTGACACTGCCAGTCTGCGCGTGAAAGTGAGTTAAAGTTGTTTAACTATGAGACATTCTGTTGTTATCACTGTGTATTTCAGACGTGGTTGACGATGCTATTCACTATAGTGGCGATAATATTATACCTTATAGACACATCTGAGTAAGTTATATTATACGTTATAAGTTATAAAGTTTATTATATTATAAGTTATAAGTTATAAGTTATAAAGTTTATTATATTATAAGTTATAAGTTATAAGTTATAAATAAGCCTTACTAGATTTTTCTATTCTCCATCTTTTATTCAAATAAGAATAACCATTTAATTAAATTTGTTAACATTTTCTATTTTATTCCCGGTTTTCTATATTAGATTGCAAATAACCTAATTATAATTCGATTCCAAAAAAATACGTCTTTGAGGGACTTCATTCCAAATTTGTAACATATTTATTATTTATTTAATTTATATTTATTAACATTTTATACTCTATTTCAGGAGTTTGGAACGCTGTATAGAACGGTCTGCTATAGGCGTTATTTTAGATTTTATATGTAACATTTTTTTCCTCTGGCGATTCACAGTTATGGTAAGTACCTTTCCAAATTTGCTTACACAAATTTGTATTGATTCGCAATTACCTTTCCAAATTTGCTTACAATTGAAATGTTCCGAAACCCATTAATGAGAACATTTTACTGTGTATAATATTAGGTGAATGTGTGTTATGAAGTTATAACTCGGGGTGAAATGAAGCTAAATAACCACATTTCAGTGTATTGTTGCTAAAGACAAACTAAGTTTTTGGGTTGAACTGAATTCGCTAATTGATTTTTGTACAATTCCTCCGGCATTTCTGACAATGTATTTGGGTACTACGTGGCTTGGTGAGTACGATTAGCTGGTTACCATGGCAACACAGTGTTTTTATTTCAGTTTTAACTTCACTACTACTACTACTACTATGAGATATGATATAACTTCACTGAATGCGTTTTAACTTTTATTCAAACAATTCTCAATTATGAATAATACGATCTTATGAATAAGACACTGATTATGTAATTTTACTATATAAATTGTAAATGTGTTTATGTTATGTAACTACATGTACAATGTACAATGTACAATGTACAATGTACAATGTACAATGTACAATGTACAATGTATAATATGTATAAATTGTAAATGTGTTTATGACCCCAGGTTTGCGGTTTATTCGAGCAGTGCGTCTAAACTGGTTCGGTGATGACGTAGCAGCTGTGAAGCTAATCTCCTCCCACAAAATGCTAAACCTCTCCAGGACTCTCTGTCAGTTTGTTAGCTTCTGGTTAACTGCCGGGGGACTTTATTTTCTGGTGAGTACTACTAGTAGTCTGTCTGTGTGTCTGTGTGTCTGTGTGTCTGTGTGTCTGTGTGTGTTAGCTTCTGGTTAACTGCCGGGGGACTCTATTTTCTGGTGAGTACTACTAGTAGTCTGTCTGTGTGTCTGTGTGTGTTAGCTTCTGGTTAACTGCTGGGGGACTCTATTTTCTGGTGAGTACTACTAGTAGTCTGTCTGTGTGTCTGTGTGTGTGTGTTAGCTTCTGGTTAACTGCCGGGGGACTCTATTTTCTGGTGAGTACTACTAGTAGTCTGTCTGTGTGTCTGTGTGTGTTAGCTTCTGGTTAACTGCTGGGGGACTCTATTTTCTGGTGAGTACTACTAGTAGTCTGTCTGTGTGTCTGTGTGTCTGTCTGTGTGTCTGTGTGTCTGTGTGTGTGTTAGCTTCTGGTTAACTGCCGGGGGACTTTATTTTCTGGTGAGTACTACTAGTAGTCTGTCTGTGTGTCTGTGTGTCTGTCTGTGTGTCTGTGTGTGTGTTAGCTTCTGGTTAACTGCCGGGGGACTCTATTTTCTGGTGAGTACTACTAGTAGTCTGTCTGTGTGTCTGTCTGTGTGTCTGTCTGTGTGTCTGTGTGTGTTAGCTTCTGGTTAACTGCCGGGGGACTCTATTTTCTGGTGAGTACTACTAGTAGTCTGTCTGTGTGTCTGTGTGTCTGTGTGTGTGTGTTAGCTTCTGGTTAACTGCCGGGGGACTCTATTTTCTGGTGAGTACTACTAGTAGTCTGTCTGTGTGTCTGTGTGTGTTAGCTTCTGGTTAACTGCTGGGAGACTTTATTTTCTGGTGAGTACTACTAGTAGTCTGTCTGTGTGTCTGTGTGTCTGTCTGTGTGTCTGTGTGTGTGTTAGCTTCTGGTTAACTGCCGGGGGACTCTATTTTCTGGTGAGTACTACTAGTAGTCTGTCTGTGTGTCTGTGTGTGTTAGCTTCTGGTTAACTGCCGGGGGACTTTATTTTCTGGTGAGTACTACTAGTAGTCTGTCTGTGTGTCTGTGTGTCTGTGTGTGTGTGTTAGCTTCTGGTTAACTGCCGGGGGACTCTATTTTCTGGTGAGTACTACTAGTAGTCTGTCTGTGTGTCTGTCTGTGTGTCTGTGTGTGTTAGCTTCTGGTTAACTGCCGGGGGACTCTATTTTCTGGTGAGTACTACTAGTAGTCTGTCTGTGTGTCTGTGTGTGTTAGCTTCTGGTTAACTGCCGGGGGACTCTATTTTCTGGTGAGTACTACTAGTAGTCTGTCTGTGTGTCTGTGTTTGTGTTAGCTTCTGGTTAACTGCCGGGGGACTCTATTTTCTGGTGAGTACTACTAGTAGTCTGTCTGTGTGTCTGTGTGTCTGTGTGTCTGTGTGTGTGTTAGCTTCTGTTTTGTAGCTTGCGGGGGACTCTATTTTCTGGTGAGTACTCTAGTAGTCTGTCTGTGTGTCTGTGTGTCTGTGTGTCTGTCTGGTGTCTGTTGTGTTAGCATCTGGTTAACTGGCCGGGGGACTCTATTTTCTGGTGAGTACTACTAGTAGTCTGTCTGTGTGTCTGTGTGTCTGTCTGTGTGTCTGTCTGTGTGTCTGTGTTGTGTTAGCTCTGGTTAACTGCCGGGGGACTACTATTTCTGGTGAGTACTACTAGTAGTCTGTCTGTGTTTGTGTTATCTTCTGGTTAACTGCCGGGGGACTCTTTCGGTGTCCTGTCCTGTGTGTCGTGTGTGTTAGCTTCTGTTAACTGCCGGGGGACTCTATTTCTGGTGAGTACTACTAGTAGTCTGTCTGTGTGTCAGGTGTGTGTGTTAGCTTCTGGTTAACTGCCGGGGGACTTATTTTCTGGTGAGTACTACTAGTAGTCTGTCTGTGTGTCTGTGTGTGTGTTAGCTTCTGGTTAACTGCCGGGGGACTTTATTTTCTGGTGAGTACTACTAGTAGTCTGTCTGTGTGTCTGTGTGTGTTAGCTTCTGGTTAACTGCCGGGGGACTCTATTTTCTGGTGAGTACTACTAGTAGTCTGTCTGTGTGTCTGTGTGTGTTAGCTTCTGGTTAACTGCCGGGGGACTCTATTTTCTGGTGAGTACTACTAGTAGTCTGTCTGTGTGTCTGTGTGTGTTAGCTTCTGGTTAACTGCCGGGGGACTCTATTTTCTGGTGAGTACTACTAGTAGTCTGTCTGTGTGTCTGTGTGTGTTAGCTTCTGGTTAACTGCCGGGGGACTCTATTTTCTGGTGAGTACTACTAGTAGTCTGTCTGTGTGTCTGTGTGTGTTAGCTTCTGGTTAACTGCCGGGGGAATCTATTTTCTGGTGAGTACTACTAGTAGTCTGTCTGTGTGTCTGTGTGTCTGTGTGTCTGTCTGTGTGTCTGTGTGTGTGTTAGCTTCTGGTTAACTGCCGGGGGACTTTATTTTCTGGTGAGTACTACTAGTAGTCTGTCTGTGTGTCTGTGTGTCTGTGTGTCTGTCTGTGTGTGTTAGCTTCTGGTCAACTGCCGGGGGACTCTATTTTCTGGTGAGTACTACTAGTAGTCTGTCTGTGTGTCTGTGTGTCTGTGTGTCTGTCTGTGTGTCTGTGTGTGTGTTAGCTTCTGGTTAACTGCCGGGGGACTTTATTTTCTGGTGAGTACTACTAGTAGTCTGTCTGTGTGTCTGTGTGTCTGTGTGTCTGTCTGTGTGTCTGTGTGTGTGTTAGCTTCTGGTTAACTGCCGGGGGACTTTATTTTCTGGTGAGTACTACTAGTAGTCTGTCTGTGTGTCTGTGTGTCTGTGTGTCTGTCTGTGTGTCTGTGTGTGTGTTAGCTTCTGGTTAACTGCCGGGGGACTCTATTTTCTGGTGAGTACTACTAGTAGTCTGTCTGTGTGTCTGTCAGTTTGTTAGCTTCTGGTTAACTGCCGGGGGACTCTATTTTCTGGTGAGTACTACTAGTAGTCTGTCTGTGTGTCTGTGTGTGTTAGCTTCTGGTTAACTGCCGGGGGACTCTATTTTCTGGTGAGTACTACTAGTAGTCTGTCTGTGTGTCTGTGTGTGTGTTAGCTTCTGGTTAACTGCCGGGGGACTCTATTTTCTGGTGAGTACTACTAGTAGTCTGTCTGTGTGTCTGTGTGTGTTAGCTTCTGGTTAACTGCTGGGGGACTTTATTTTCTGGTGAGATGTTATAAAATAATCACTGAACAACAAAATACAATAACCATTATGTTATAAAGTAATCACTGAACAACAAGATACAAGAACCATTATGTTATGAAGTAATCACTGAACAACAAGATACAAGAACCATTTAACTCTTCAATAAACTCCTCCTTTTGCAGAGTTGCTGATATTATTAGATTTGACAAAGCTTTGCTTACTTCAATTCATTTTACTTTTCAAAAACATACTTTATTCGGAGCTTACTAGAACAGTAAATTATCCCAGGTTGATAATATGTCAGCGCAGAACACCCAGTGTACAAAATCTCCTTGCGGTTTAACGTTTTGGGAGTCACTTTATTTTTTATTTGTAAGTATACATACATATATATTCAACTTCGCATTCATCTTACAGTTAAAAGAATACAAATTTTAATTTTTTCACTTTTCTGCCTTAATTTTCATGATATCACATTTTACAATTAGAAATTATAAAGTTGATCAGCATATGATTATATGTATATATATAATTAATAATTATATATTTTTATATATTTAATAAAATTACAACTCCGCAGATTACTTTATCAACGATTGGGTACGGTGACAAACACCCCAGTAGTCGAGAAAGCCAAATAATCGTTATATTTATTATCATAATCGGACTGGTACGTTCATTAATTCCAGTTATTTTATTTATTACTTACTCCAAGTAAATATGTATTATTGTGAATCTTCTTTCAACTATTGTAACTATTCAAGTCGTAGTCAGCCAAACAGCACATTACAGGCTAGAGGTCTGATTGCAAATAATTCGGAGCTGTAAAAACTACCAAATTGCAAAATATTTTCTATTTTAGGCAGTTTTTGCCTCGTTTATGCCGGCCCTCGTGGAACTCTCCCAAAAACCTGCCTCTTTTTTGGGCGAATACGACGATTCTAAGTCTAGGTAACTGGGTGTTACTATGGAAACATAGTGCATGCTCTGTGTGCTATGTTACTATGGAAACATAGTGCATGCTCTGTGTGCTATGTTACTATGGAAACATAGTGCATGCTCTGTGTGCTTTGTTACTATGGAAACATAGTGCATGCTCTGTGTGCTATGTTACTATGGAAACATAGTGCATGCTCTGTGTGATATGTTACTATGGAAACATAGTGCATGCTCTGTGTGCTATGTTACTATGGAAACATAGTGCATGCTCTGTGTGCTATGTTACTATGGAAACATAGTGCATGCTCTGTGTGCTATGTTACTATGGAAACATAGTGCATGCTCTATGTGCTATGTTACTATGGAAACATAGTGCATGCTCTGTGTGCTATGTTACTATGGAAACATAGTGCATGGTCTGTGTGCTATGTTACGAAACATAGTGCATGCTCTGTTTGCTATGTTACTATGGAAACATAGTGCATGTGTGTTTTACTGCTTGGCAGGCTGCTTAATGGCTCGGTGCTTTGTTTTATCTTTAATTTCCACCTATTATATCTTCTCTTTTTAACTGCACCTACTGTGTTTCTATGGTAACTAGTAGTGTTACCATGGTAACTAGTAGTGTTACCATGGTAACTAGTAGTGTTGCCATGGTAACTAGTGATGTTACCATGGTAACCACACCTTAGCAGCCTGCTAAACAGCATGCTCAGCATTGTTTGTGTGTTTATGTTCTGCTTACTGCTAACACTTCCTTCACCTCTTGTTTTAGGCTGTATTTGCTTCTTTCGGGCCAGCAGTAGTAGAATTGTTTCATAAACAACCTTCCTTCCTCGGGGAATACGATGATAGTAGATCTAGGTAAATATTTACATCTTCATATATAGAAGTGATATATAGATTATAGAAGTGATATCTTCATATTATACAGATTATAGAAGTGATATATCTTCATATATAGATTATAGAAGTGATATATATATATAGAAAACTAAATGCGATGATAGTGAGGGGGGAACCAATGTTCAATTGCAATTTTGAAAAACTGAAATTGGACATTTCAAAAATTGACATTATTGGAATTTTTAAAATACATTTTAGTTCTATAATTTAAGAGCGTATAAACGCTATCCGGCCTATATTTAATTCTTATGATTCTATAAAACCCCATTATTTTTTAACTCCGCGTACTCTGAAGATCCATCCTTGATATAGAATGAGGCGTTCCTTAGCAACATGTTCCTTACTCCTTAGCAACATGTTCTTTACTCCTTAGCAACATGTTCCTTACTCCTTAGCAACATATCCATTAGCAACATGTTCCTTAGGTAATCGTAAGAGAGTTTTGGCAGATATACATACTTGATTTTGATGCATCTTTTTTGTGCGGGGTTTGTAGATATGATTTTGCAGGATATGCTTGTTTAATGTGACTCTGTTTAATCTCATGAGATATTATTACGTGTGTTATGCTATCTGCTTTATAAACCTTGACTCACTCAAGGTGATTACACATTTTCTTCTCCATTAATTTCACTCTGTAGCATGATACCTATATGGTACCTAGTAATGTTACCATGGTAACTAGTAGTGTTACCATGGTAACTAGTAATGTTACCATGGTAACTAGTAGTGTTACCATGGTAACTAGTAATGTTACCATGGTAACTAGTAGTGTTACCATGGTAACTAGTAGTATTACCATGGTAACTCTCTCATTTAATCAACTAACTCCCCTCAGTCACGTAATTGTGAGTGGTTATATAACCACCAGTACTGTCAGCAACTTTATGCGCGACTTTCTACATCCGGAAAACGAAAACCAAGAAACTACTGCCGTATTTTTAAATCCGTAAGTTTCGTTCGGTTTGTTTCAAATCCATATGTTTAAGTGCTTAGAACATTTATCTGTCAGATATTACAAAATCAACTAGATTTGCACAGTGAGATTTGAACATTTCGTTTCAGTACCCCACCACCAGAAGAATTACAGAATCTAATGCACCGACATTTTTACCGGTGTCAGTACTTCCAGGGCAGTCCTTTAGGGTCAGGAGACTTACAGCGGGTCAAGGTAAACTACACACTAGGTGTTTCTATGGTAACGACTAGCGTTACCATGCTAATTACCTAATCATCAAGGAAACTCAGCAACAAAATACTTTCAATAATAGTACTTACAAGCTATTTTTACAATACAACGGTTTATTGGATATCTGGTTATTCAACAAATGAGCTGGACGGAGTTGGCGGTTCTAATAGCTAATTTAGATTTAGAGAGCGTCACAATAATTTATTTTGCGAATAAGTATAAAAGAAAATGATTTTAAAGAGTTTAATGCAGCTTGCCGCAGTGTGACACAGCTAAAGCGTGCCTGGTAATTGCAAACAAGCACTCGCACGAACCTGACGCAGAGGACGCCGCTAATATTCTCAGGTGAGAGGCTATAAGTTATAACATTAACCCTATATTATATAACTCTATAAGTTATAACATTAACCCTATATTCTATAAGCTATAACCCTACATACGTTATCCTCACCCCCCCCCCCCCCCCCCCCCCCCCCCCCTAAAATTGGAACGATACAGAGATGATTAGCATGGCCCCTGCACAAATTTGTGCTCATATCTTGAATCTCTGTGTACAACTAAGTATAAAGTGTAGTTAATAGTTTCTGTGTACAACTATAAGTAAGTGTTATAGTTACTAGTTTACTTCAAGTAAGTGTAGTTTCTCATTGTAACACGTTGTTTGTATTCAGGGTGATATCTATAAAGAACTTCCGAGCCTGTGTACGAGTCATCATCCAGATACTAAACTACCACAATGAGGTGCTTTTTATCAATTTCAATCTTACTTTATAAATATTTTCATTACAATTTCAAAAACGAATCTGTTTATCTGATTATATATATTATATAAAACATTGTATTCTAACACTGCTTATATTTAATTTCTCCTCCCAGTCAACATGTATCCGTTCAGGAGCATCTGTTCAATGTGCCAGACTGGAATAAAGTACACGGTGACGAGGTGATATGTATTAACGAGCTAAAGTTAGGACTGCTCGGAAAGAGTTGTCTGTGTCCTGGTTTCAGCACCATGGTGGCTAATCTCATCATGATGAGTTCCTTCCAGCCCGGCAATTATAATGTTAGCATTCACATTCATACACTTTCAAATCCTTATCTCAATCTTTTATCTCACTAACAACTCCATTTGATTTGAACCGTTCACAAATAGAACATATACATTATACATTATACAATACAGCAATGCAATATAGATACTTGTTCGCGGCTTAGATTGATAACCGTCTAAACCCCATCAGTGGCGTAACTTTGCATGTTAGCGTCCCCCTATATGCACCCCCTCCCCTTTTAGTGCCCCCTCCCCTTTTAGCGCCCTCTCCCCTTTTAGCGCCCCTCCCCTTTTAGCGCCCCCTCCCCTATTGGCGCTCCCTACCCTTTTGGCGCCCCCTCCCCTTTTAGCGCCCTCCCTTAAATTAGACAAATTATGTGATTAGTTACGCCACTGAACCCCATCACAATAATAACCTGGAGGGGGATATTTAAAACATATAAGTGATATATGAAAGGATTTTATTAGCAGGAGCTTTCAAAATACTTGTGTAAATCGTTTTCAGCTCTTCACAATAATAACGCTCCCTCATTCAGAACCCGTCTAACGACGTACGGGACCACTGGCAGTACGAGTATGGGTTCGGGGCCTCCAATGAGCTCTACACTGGGGCTATGAGTAGTGACTTCGTGGGAATGAGTTTCCCAATGGTGGCGGAGATTTGTCTGATAAAGCTTCACATTCTCCTGATAGGAGTGGAGGTGGAAACTAATGCTGACAGCTCTGGCATCCTCTTTAATCCTAGTCCTAGTATTTTTAGGTTCTCTGAAAACAGTAGGGGTATATTCATCGCTCAAAACCCTCAAGCAGTTAAAAGGTAGGTTAACTGCCAATAAGTTAACGTATCCACCATTCTCATATGGTAACCATCTGGCTCATTTCTTTGCTCATTTCCTCGCTCATTTCTTCTTTCTATAACCTCGTTTCATCCCAGTTAATAAATATCTCAGATAATTACATTAATTACATATTATATTACATAATTAATTTACAGTGCAGCCTTCTACTGCTACCAGTGTCACGAGTATACATCTAACAACGAGATATCCAAATGCAACTGCGATAAAAGTAAGTCCCAACTTTAATTATAAGTTTCCATTTGAGCATCTTACCATTCGACAGTTTGAATACAGTTATTAATTAATTTACTAATCTGCTTCTTGAAATGTAAAAGCTACCCTGAATGTCATGTTAAATCTGAGTTGTTACCCCTCTGCTATATATAATAAACTATTTTTACGTTAACAATTTTATTTGAATTACGTTAACCCCTCTGCTATTATTTAATAAATAACAATTTTTAACAAGTTTTTTCTCCTCAGCCAAGTTCATAAGGACCGGGCTGTCTGTTCCTGTTCCTGACGGACAGTTTGACGGACAATATCGCACTGTTAACAAGTATGTCCACTTTTTAAAGTACTTTTTATTTCATTAACATGTTATTAGCATAATGAGCATAATTAGCATAATTAACATGCTATTAGCATATAATAATTGCAGTGATTCTGTTTATATGAAGGAAGAGGTCTCTATATAAGTTTCCCCACAGTTTTGAGTTAACGGAGGGATTCACAGAAATGCCACCTAGACCTGGTCCGGATGTTCCTAACCAGGTGCCATTTTGGAAGACACTTGGTAAAGAAGAACGGGCTAAGTACGACCAGAAACTGACGCTAGATGGAACAGGGGCTTATCATTGGCGGGAACCATGTGCTCTGGACGACGTTACCATGGTACCTTCATAAATTGTTTTACTTTTAGTTTTACTTTTACTTTTAGTTTTACTTTTACTTTTACTTTTACTTTTACTTTTACTTTTACTTTTACTTTTACTTTTACTTTTACTTTTACTTTTACTTTTACTTTTACTTTTACTTTTACTTTTACTTTTACTTTTACTTTTACTTTTACTTTTAATTTTACTTTTACTTTTACTTTTAATTTTACTTTTACTTTTACTTTTACTTTTACTTTTACTTTTGTTTTTATCTCCGTTATAGCAATTGAGTAGTATATATCTGACAGTTACCAGTTAGTTACCGGTTACCATGGTTACCAGTCAGTTACCAGTCAGTTACCGGTTACCATGGTTACCAGTCATTTACCGGCTTGCAATTTCAGACGAAAGAAGATGTGGCTACTCTAACTGACCATATCATAGTGTGCGTTTTTGGAGACACTAACTCTCCCACTGTTGGGCTTAGGAATCTGGTGAGTAACTATTCCGTCACTGTCACCCTCACCGTTACTGTCAATGTCAAATACTCCAACTTCATTTGCCACTTTATTTTCAAATCTCACCAATTTCAGCTCTTACCGCTGAGAAGCAGTAATCTTCCCATGGCGGAGGTGAAAAAAGTTCTACTTTTGGGACAAAAAGACTACATCGAAAAAGAGTGGAAAGATTTGAACGACTTCCAAGACGTTTATTTCATGGAGGTATGATTTTATCATCGTACACTCTACATTTGCTTTTAACAGAAAACTGGGTTTTTCACTCTAATGTAACTTGTCATTAAATAAAAGGCAATAATATTCGCTCCTAAAGATTCACATAACTCCACCAGGGGTCCCCCATGAGAAGAGAAGACGTTATTTCAGCGGGAGTGCAGAACTGCTTGATGTGCCTTATCCTGTCCTCCGCGTTACAGGGAAAAGCAACGGATCCTAACTTAGTGGATAAGGAGACTATTCTGTCATTCCTGCAGGTTATTATTAGGCTATTTATATATAGGCTATCAAGTAATTACTATCAAAATTATTTGTATTTCTCCCAAATTCCGCGATAATGATGATGGAGTCTAATAAACTTGTGGCAGATAAAAGGCTGCGGTGGAACTGAGCTAATAGCTCCACGCTCCTTTAATTATGCCCTGTTACACTACTAGTTACCATAGTTACACTACTAGTTACCATAGTTACACTACTAGTTACCATAGTTACACTACTAGTTACCATAGTTACACTACTAGTTACCATAGTTACACTACTAGTTACCATAGTTACACTACTAGTTACCATAGTTACACTACTAGTTACCATAGTTACACTACTAGTTACCATAGTTACACTACTAGTTACCATAGTTACACTACTAGTTACCATAGTTACACTACTAGTTACCATAGTTACACTAATAGTTACCATAGTTACACTACTAGTTACCATAGTTACACTACTAGTTACCATAGTTACACTACTAGTTACCATAGTTACACTACTAGTTACCATAGTTACACTACTAGTTACCATAGTTACACTACTAGTTACCATAGTTACACTACTAGTTACCATAGTTACACTAATAATAAACTTGTGGCAGATAAAAGGCTGCGGTGGAACTGAGCTAATAGCTCCACGCTCCTTTAATTATGCCCTGTTACACTACTAGTTACCATAGTTACACTACTAGTTACCATAGTTACACTACTAGTTACCATAGTTACACTACTAGTTACCATAGTTACACTACTAGTTACCATAGTTACACTACTAGTTACCATAGTTACACTACTAGTTACCATAGTTACACTACTAGTTACCATAGTTACACTACTAGTTACCATAGTTACACTACTAGTTACCATAGTTACACTACTAGTTACCATAGTTACACTAATAGTTACCATAGTTACACTACTAGTTACCATAGTTACACTACTAGTTACCATAGTTACACTACTAGTTACCATAGTTACACTACTAGTTACCATAGTTACACTAATAATAAACTTGTGACAGATAAAAGGCTGCGGTGGAACTGAGCTGATAGCTCCACGCTCCTTTAATTATGCCCTGTTACACTACTAGTTACCATAGTTACACTACTAGTTACCATAGTTACACTACTAGTTACCATAGTTACACTACTAGTTACCATAGTTACACTAATAGTTACCATAGTTACACTACTAGTTACCATAGTTACACTACTAGTTACCATAGTTACACTACTAGTTACCATAGTTACACTACTAGTTACCATAGTTACACTAATAATAAACTTGTGACAGATAAAAGGCTGCGGTGGAACTGAGCTGATAGCTCCACGCTCCTTTAATTATGCCCTGTTACACTACTAGTTACCATAGTTACACTACTAGTTACCATAGTTACACTACTAGTTACCATAGTTACACTAATAATAAACTTGTGGCAGATAAAAGGCTGCGGTGGAACTGAGCTGATAGCTCCACGCTCCTTCAAGTATGCTCTGAACGAGAAACCGAAGAGAAACAGGATGCAAGTACCCATTATCTCGGAGATAGGTAACGTTATTTAAATAGGTTTCACCTGTACATTGTGTACAAACCCTTTCCAATATTTGACATTTTAATCTTGCGATATGTAGTTAGCTTGATGCATGTAATAAGTTATGTAATTAGCTTGATGCATGTAAATGATTCTAATGTGCATGTATTTTGAATAACCCTTTTACAGTAAATGATTCTAATGTGCAATTCATGGAGAAGTCGAAGGACTCCTCACAAAGGGGGTTGCACATGGCTCTGCCCTTCACTCGAGGACAAGCCTTCATTGTTTCCGTGCTGGACGCTATTCTCTCTTTGGTAAATTTATCAGATAGTTTTATAAAGAAGCTGACCGGATAGAGCACTTATTGACTTATTTTAAATGAAAATAACAAAGTTTGAGGATTAAGACAATCCAAAAAAGGGGATCTGGTCAGCTTCTTAATTAATTAAGCAGCACTCGCCTCACACGCGCCCCATGCAGTGCAGGATACGAATGTAGAATTCATGGTGCTGGACCGAGGGGACAGCGACCAGTCTCTCGGCACCGCCTCACCCCCTTTCGCTAAGGGCCAAGCCTTCATCGTGTCAGTACTCGACTCTATCTTATCGTTGGTAAAACGCGAGATTCTGCTACACGTGTTAATGTTAACTATGTTCCCAGAGAGCATGTAGCGTGAAGGTTACCATGGTTACCATGGTTACCATGGTTACTATGTTATACAATAATATCTAGTGTCCAGATAACCCGCATGTCCTGTAGTGTTAAGAGTGTTTGTTGTATTTACAAATGTATTGTTCTGTAGTGTTTGACTACACTCCCTAACCAGATAGCGCATGTTGTATTTACAAATGTATTGTATTGTATTGTGTATTGTTTGACTCCACTCCCTAACCAGATAGCGCATGTTGTATTTACATTTACAAATGTATTGTATTGTATTGTGTATTGTTTGACTCCACTCCCTAACCAGATAGCGCATGTTGTATTTACAAATGTATTGTATTGTATTGTGTATTGTTTGACTCCACTCCCTAACCAGATAGCGCATGTTGTATTTACATTTACAAATGTATTGTATTGTATTGTGTATTGTTTGACTCCACTCCCTAACCAGATAGCGCATGTTGTATTTACAAATGTATTGTATTGTATTGTGTATTGTTTGACTCCACTCCCTAACCAGATAGCGCATGTTGTATTTACAAATGTATTGTATTGTATTGTGTATTGTTTGACTCCACTCCCTAACCAGATAGCGCATGTTGTATTTACAAATGTATTGTATTGTATTGTGTATTGTTTGACTCCACTCCCTAACCAGATAGCGCATGTTGTATTTACAAATGTATTGTATTGTATTGTGTATTGTTTGACTCCACTCCCTAACCAGATAGCGCATGTTGTATTTACAAATGTATTGTATTGTATTGTGTATTGTTTGACTCCACTCCCTAACCAGATAGCGCATGTTGTATTTACAAATGTATTGTATTGTATTGTGTATTGTTTGACTCCACTCCCTAACCAGATAGCGCATGTTGTATTTACATTTACAAATGTATTGTATTGTATTGTGTATTGTTTGACTCCACTCCCTAACCAGATAGCGCATGTTGTATTTACAAATGTATTGTATTGTATTGTGTATTGTTTGACTCCACTCCCTAACCAGATAGCGCATGTTGTATTTACAAATGTATTGTATTGTATTGTGTATTGTTTGACTCCACTCCCTAACCAGATAGCGCATGTTGTATTTACAAATGTATTGTATTGTATTGTGTATTGTTTGACTCCACTCCCTAACCAGATAGCGCATGTTGTATTTACATTTACAAATGTATTGTATTGTATTGTGTATTGTTTGACTCCACTCCCTAACCAGATAGCGCATGTTGTATTTACAAATGTATTGTATTGTATTGTGTATTGTTTGACTCCACTCCCTAACCAGATAGCGCATGTTGTATTTACAAATGTATTGTATTGTATTGTGTATTGTTTGACTCCACTCCCTAACCAGATAGCGCATGTTGTATTTACAAATGTATTGTATTGTATTGTGTATTGTTTGACTCCACTCCCTAACCAGATAGCGCATGTTGTATTTACAAATGTATTGTATTGTATTGTGTATTGTTTGACTCCACTCCCTAACCAGATAGCACATGACCAGCTATTAGCATTATCCATGTTAAGTGTGCATTGAACAGTAGATGTAAATACACGTGACTTATTAGGAATCATAGTAACGTATGAGGTATAATCATGTAATTACATTCTTTAGTCGGAGCTCTGTGGATTACAATCGAAGATTTTGCATAGTTTTGAAATATCAGAGTGTATTTTGAAAAGGGTTGAATTATCGTCAACAATTGTTTAATTATCGCCGAATAATGGAGGATGACATGATTGCATGAACCATTGAATTTGAAGGACCACATTTTTCTAATAACAAAATTGCCAGGAGTTTACAGGGCACATAGTCACTATATAAGAATACTATATTGTCACTACTGTCCTCATTCATCAACCCTGTTACAACGTCTATTCAATTAATTAATCCTTACTAATTAACATGTTTTATAAAATTACAGACGTTCTACAATGAGAAGCTGATGAGGATAATCAGAACTCTGATAACTGGGATTGACTCTCACTCCCAGGACCCTGACGACGCTTTCGCAGACCTCGGTCAGTGTTTTAATAACCTGGTTACCTGGTTACCTGGTTACCTGGTTACCTGGTTACCTGGTTACCTGGTTACCTGGTTACCTGGTTACCTGGTTACCTGGTTACCTGGTTACCTGGTTACCTGGTTACCTGGTTACCTGGTTACCTGGTTACCTGGTTACCTGGTTACCTGGTTACCTGGTTACCTGGTTACCTGGCTTTCACAGACCTCGGTCAGTGTTTTAATGAATTGTATCTAAAAAAACCAACTCATGACACACTATAATGTTTGCATCGCAAACATGAGCGTGTGATATACGCTTATCAAACTCCTTATCAAACTCCTTATCAAACCCCTCCGCAAACTTTTTCCTCCTTCGCAAAGTTATTTCTATTTGTACATTTTCCTCCAAATTGAGTATCACTTTATCAAGAATTTCTGATTGGCGCTTTAATCGAACATTATTAAACAATTATAACTCTATTATTAAAGTAATACTAAAAGTTGTTTTCTCTTCCAGATGATTGTGGAATCGCAATAGGTCTGAACAAGTTCCGTCCTTGGTTAAGGACGAGAATGAGCTGCAGAATAGCTCAGATCTCTTTAGCTGACGAGCGCTTCTCTGGAATAAGGGTAATTTAATTGTTACATAGTTGTTACATAGTTGTTACATAGTTGTTACATAGTTGTGACATAGTTGTAACATGGTTGTTACATAGTTGTTACATAGTTGTTACATAGTTGTGACATAGTTGTTACATGGTTGTTACATAGTTGTTACATAGTTGTTACATAGTTGTTACATGGTTGATAGTTGTATATAGGTGCAACTAAGCAGTAAGTAGATTAATTTATCACTGACCAGGTATACGGGGAACTATTCGAGATGCTACTTAGAAGACACTCGATGCTTGCTCTCGGTCTCTACCGCTGCTACAAGAAAACACACAAAGGATCTAACAAGAAATCCCCCACCTCCAGCGAGTAAATATAGTAATTAGAGTCGTCTAACTATATTTAGTTAGAGTCCTCATGTTGAGTAGTGTTGTCTTGGTAACAGTAGTGTTGTCATGGTAACAGTAGTGTTGTCATGGTAACAGTAGTGTTGTCATGGTAACAGTAGTGTTGTCATGGTAACAGTAGTGTTGTCATGGTAACAGTAGTGTTTACACTGCTTACAGTACTATAAACTGATCTAAAATTGTACTCGAATTTGAAGAAATCCCGCGCAAAACATGGTTATGAAATATTTTATTCGAAATAAAGTTGTTATTCTAGACTGGTTTATACGGCTGCTCAGAAGTTTCTACCCAAATAAAGAGCCAAGTGATCCTGCTAGTCTATCATTCAATTCTTATCAGCAGGGAGAGAGGGAGGAATGGTAGAGACAATGAGGACAGATATGTGAACACAGCGCCACCTTACGACGCTAAGCTCCGTCCTAGTGACAAGGTATTTATTAGTGGTTACTTTACCCATTATTTCAGATTGGTTTCGTAAAGGTTGCTCCAACTCCAAGGCTGACATTAGCAGACTCTCCATAATCGCATTTATTAAATCAGAAGGTCGCCAGCAAAGGAACCTTTTCTTAATAAGACAGTTAATGATCCAATAACGCCGTTATATAACGCTTAAATCTTAAATTATTTTATGAAAAAGAGAATGTTCTCGAGTATAACTGTGGTATCACTGGTATATGCCCGAGTTAGAGTGTATAGTGTATAGCGTATAGTAGTGTATATAGTGTATGTATATGGTATAGTAGTGTATAGTAGTGTATAGTAATGTATAGTATATAGTGTATGTTTTAGCTCTGCATTGTCCGGCAGGTATTTGTACTGGCCCAGTCGGAGATGGAGCACAACTTTCCTCTAGAAGACACTGACAAGAATGACGAGAGCGACTCGTCAGACAACGAGTACAGCTACTCAAACTCACCCCTACCTCCCACAGGCAGTTAGTACACTTTCACTTTCACTTTCACTTTCACTTTCACTTTCACTTTCACTTTCACTTTCACTTTCACTACTTTCGCATGCAGAGTTGTATTGATACCAGCACATTTTGTAACCAGAGTTAGCCTCATTAATAATTCTGTTAACACCGTTAATTTTCATCAATTATTACATTAGCGAATGTTTTCAATTACAGCCTGTTTAATTCCAAAAATTTGTACACAATAATTAAAGCCGACTGACTGCTAAATATTACACGATATAAATTATAAATTTGACGCTATTATAAGTAACATTTTGGCTGGGCGACGTTTGTCGTTGTATACTTGAAGAAACGAGGCAAAAACTGCTAGCAGACTGAGAATTATAACAATAGAGCAGTATTTGAAGCTGGGAGAAAGATAACTTGCTGAGTGTTCTGAGGTGAACATCAGCCAGAGCAGAAAATGCTGTGTCCTTTACACGGGAGTTGCTTGGTAACAGTAGTGTTGTCATGGTTACTGCTGAGTCGCTAGCAAAGATGAGAGCTACACAGCTGGACAAAAAGAGCCCCTCTAAAATCAACTGCTACAGATAAGAAGCGGGAAAAGCAAAGATCCCAGCATCAAGTAGCCTTAACAATTGAAGAGGAGAGCTCAGCTTGCTGTCCACTTCTACAGACTTCAGACCAGCCAGACACAATACAAATCAGCACGACTCTCTCCGAGGAGCTGGCCTCTCCTCACAGGTCTCCAAACCTCAAACTGTTCGCCATGAAGCACAGGCGTCTGCTGAGACTGTGGAATAAGAGAAAACACAGAGCGAGGAGGGATAGTTCAGGGAGGTGTAGTTCAGGAAACTCACCTGGTGCCCAACCCTCCTGACAGTATGTAATTTCATCGTTAATAATAAATAATTGTATAGCTAAATTAAGTTATGAGGATTTGAGACTGGGAGCTAACTGATTACAACTAATTGTCGTTGAAGCCTGGAAACATTCTGACTGAAACTTTCGATATTCACAGGTTTTAGTAGTGTTGTCATGGTAACAAATCCAATAAAGTTATAAACTGAACTCTCGTCTCTCAACCTAGATGTGATTGTACCGAGTAATTAGTTGCCGTATCTTTTCAGTGGATGTAGACGGGATGTCACCCTTACCACCTCACTTTTACGCGATGGAAAACGACCACACCATCAACTTGGAGGAGGGTTGAGGCGCGCTAAGATAGAGTGTTGTCATGGTAACAGTTGTGATGGAGTGTTGCTCAGATGATCTATTTATATTTTCTTACTCTATTTGTGTTATCGAACGACTGTTTTATAGCGTTTTATAACAGCCCACTGCGAAATCAGCCGAAATGAAGATATCGAATTATCCCTGTGATTTGAGCAAATTCTCAAAATGTATACGATGACTATAACTCACCGATACCATAGTAACCATGGTAACCATGGTAACCGCATACGTTTAGTTACTCAGTCGGTGGCTGTTATTATTATGGCAATAAAAATCAAGTTGAGAAGTTGATTTATTTTTCATATGATGCAAAATATTTTCTCTGGTGTTATTTCTTTGATATTTGGTGTTATTTGTCTAGCATTATAGTTCAACAATTTTTAATCGTACAATTTTAGTTTGTCTTGTCTCAAATTTTCCTCAGGAATATCATACTTATAGTTATAGTTATACTTATACTTATAGAGTACTACAGTTATAGTTATACAAGTACAATATACAATGTACAAATACAATAAACTATCCATAATGATAGTTATTAGTTAACTAAAGTCTTATGATGTCAAATCACATATGCTCCATGCTCATAGTCATAGTATTTGCTCGTTTTTGTTGGACTGAACTGGCTCGTTATTTCTAATTCAATCATAGAACTTTGCGATCCTGGGGTCGTTTCGAAAAAATTTAGATCGTATCCATCATGGGGGTGATTCGGAATCAGCGTCCGAAAATACATCGATTGAAGTTGGTTTCAACTGTCGGGGCCCCTTTTAGAACAATCTTGAAGATCGACTGTTATGTAGAGTGATTTAGCACGCTCGTTCGTTTTATGTATCTTTTCCATTATAGACCGCTTTGGAGGACTCGCGCCGCGCGATCTATCAACAATCAATCTTTCTTCGCATTGAAGAACATTGCTGTGCTTCGCAAAGCAACAATCTCAAAGGGTTGACATTGTCATTCAATAGACCGCCATACATGATGTCTTCATTAATTGACGATGTCAATTCATCGCAGCTCGGCGAGGCCAGGCACAGTAGCGCATTTCCAATTTCGCCGATCTAGCGAGAAGCATAAATGAGTGCGCGGCGCGGCACAGTAACACATTCACAGGCGGGGCTAAGTGCAAAGAAACTGCTGCTCACTGCTGCTCACTGTTGCTCATTGTAGCGCGATGCGTTACTGTGCCGCGAGATGCGCTACTGTGCCGCGCCGAGCTGCCATGAATTGACATCGTCAATTAATGCTGCTCACTGCTACTAACTGCTGCTCACTGCTGCTCACTGCTGCTCACTGCTGCTCACTGCTGCTCACTGCTGCTCACTGCTGCTCACTGCAGTGAGCAGCAGTGAGCAGCAGTGAGCAGCAGTGAGCAGCAGTGAGCAGCAGTGAGCAGCAGTGAGCAGCAGTGAGCAGCAGTGAGCAGCAGTGAGCAGCAGCTTTTTTTGCACTTAGCCCCTTTTGTGCATTGCGCTACAAATTTCTTCATTTCGAAAAGTACTACGAAGTATTTTATAAATAAATATAATTTACTTTAATGCGGCCGGTTTCCACTGAGCGAGTTTATACTTTTGCACCGTTTCAAGTACGACGCATGGTGCAATCCCGGTTGACCATTGTTAATAATCAGGCCCGGCGCGCGCTACTTGCCATCATAACATTTCGAGAAGAAAGCGGCGCGCGCTACTTCGAAGAAATTTAGACGAGTAACATCCGTCAACAATCCTGAATCCCGGCCAAAGGTTAAAAGACCCAGTAAAAATCTACATAATTACAATACTTTCCACTACCAACTAATATACTATATTATAAGCTCAGAGCTAATACATAATAAAACGTTTATTTGCAACATTGAACATGGCATATATATTTGAACCTAAAATATTCATAATGCTCTTCTTTTAGGTTTATAACTTATCAGGACGCGCGCCGAATTGAACTCGTTGACGAAACAAATATTTTATTGCTTTAACCAAAGTTGCTCTAACATCTAACCAGAGCCCTTTCGCTTGCAGTAGCGTGCGACCGTCGAAGGGTCTGGACAGCTGATAGACAGCTATAGCTATTTGAGAGCATCGCTCTCATATCAAGACATCCAGACGAGTATAATGACATCATTAGAAATAGAATTTTCTTCTGGATAGAAAAACAAATTTGTAGGAAAACAAATTTAAATTTTGGTATTAATTGTATCGTATCATAAAAATAAAGCCGCGCGTTGGTTGGCTGCCTCAGTAAGGTGAATAATTTAATTTTCCATGCATCAATAATAAGAAGGGACCGGTTAATATATAATAATTGGTCAAGTTACTAGCTACTTTAGATTTAATGGTAATTTGAGAAAAGATAATTTGCATGTGTACATACAATAGTTCAAGGGGGCTATATTTATGAGTCGCATTTGAACTTGATTTCTCTTGGAGAATTTCTCTTTAGACTCTTAACTTGCGAACAAATTGAAGCAGCAAACTTTAGGCTAGAAACTTTATTGAATTGAAATAATCATTCCACGTAACAACGTCTTCTTCAGTTCTGTAATAAAATTGTTAAACATGTGTAAAAATTAACGACGGAAAGAAATTTAAAATAACATTAAAACAAAAACAGAGAAATAAAATTTACGAAATATGACCCAAAAATGTAATTGCAAAAAATGTCAAAACAACAAAAAATACGACAAGAAGAAATGTAAGCTAATACAACTAAATACTGTACGACTCATGATACTAAACTAATTAGTAAACGTAAAACTGGTTGTTCAGAATTCACAGTTCATGTGTAAAAACTAATGATAAAATCAGCACTTAAGCAACGATAACTCGGTTGTCATGGTTACTATCCAAGATAGTCCTATCAATACATTATTTACTAGTTAAACATCGACTAAATATTTGTACAAATAACTCAACTCAGAACGATCATTCATTTCAGGACTTAATCTCAATATATACATCGCTTCTACAATCTTTCTACGAACAGTTTTACTCTGTAAATCAAGTAACTTAAAAGATAAAACTGGGGTTCGGTTAGGATGTAGAGATGCGTAGTGCTGTCCAACCCCATTCTCTGGATGTGCTCTAGGATTCCTAGCAGCCTGTCTGTGCTCCATCAGACGAGCATGGAGGCTTCTCTCAGTTTCCCCACAGTATCTCTTACCACATAACTCGCAAGTAACTAAGTAAATAGCTCCTTTTGTTGAGCATGTTGTTCCTGTGAGTCTAGGGCAGATCTCACAATTGTTAGGGTTACCAAGGTCACAAGTCTTCTTATCCAGTGGACGAGAGCGGCAGAAGATGTCCTGTAACTTCTTACCAGGTGTAAAAATAACTCTGATGGGGAGTTTGTTAGATTTGATGTAGTTGCGAATCTTATTACAAACTGTTCCAGAGATGAATGGTAAGGTGAGTGGGACAGAGTCAGGTGTGGTTTGACGTCTTCTCCTAGTCCTCCTGTTCCTTGCGTTATGACTCAGAGGTTGGTGTCCATTTTTCTTTAAGAGATCATCGATGATCTTAACTGAATGATCGAGTTCCTGGGGTCCTGAGGAAGCAATGGTGGCATTACGGTAGAAGTTCTTCTTACACTCCTCCTTCACTGAGTCCGGGTGGTGTGACTTCTGGTGTAATGTTATCCCCTTGTTCTGGGTTTTCCTGTAGAATCTGTGGTGCACTTTTCCTTCCTCATCGATCCGGATTTCCGTACTCAGGAACGGGACAAAATCCGCAGGGGTAGACGGGAACTCGATCTCCCACTTGATTCTGTTATCGGGATCCTGGTCGGCTATGCGTTGTAACATATCCAGTGCTTCTTCTCTGGATTTGGCTAAGGAACCAGCATCATCTACATACCGTTTGTATAAGAAACGAACAGGGTTACTGATGTAATAACTGTCATACATACAATTTTATACATACAATTTTATCATACAATCTTATCATATAATGTGAGTAAACACAATTTAAACCTCCTTTCACGTTTTCCCGATTTCAGCTATGTCATATTTCACAATCTGTGGGGGTTGCAACTTTACTCAGTTAAACCAAAATTTCAATTTTATGCCATTTATTACAGAGTAAACAAGTTTACGATAAATCAATTTGATATTTAAAGGTATCCTAATTCAATGTGTAGTATGGTTGTCACTCTTTAAATAGATTAGATATAGGTTTAGTTGACGGGGAAAAGGAGTGTGCGTGCTGTTCGCTATTGCTCAAATCAAACGGCAACCTAGTAAATGTTTTGTATGGACACCGGTCTCCATCACTATGCAAAAGTAGTATTGTAGAATTTATTGTATAACTTTTAGTGCTGTGGAGGTAGCGGTGTGGTGCATTAATAGAGTGATAGCCTACTGATTTAGAGTTGTTTTTAAGTGAACATAATAGGTATATTTTTGGACCTAAAGGCTTTAGTATGGCAACTTTTAAATTGGTTCTTTTAATCATTTATTAAATATCAGTGTAAAATTATATAAATCTGGAATCTGTTCACACTGTGAACCAGTCCTATAAAAATTTTAAAAACCCTCTTAAATTAAATATTAAAAACGTCTCAATAATGGAAATAGTCATACAATTACTGGCAGCCTTTCTTTTTTTCCTTGTCAATCCATCCATTCCCAGCTGGCTCCCTCTGTTCTCCAAACTCGATATCGACCCTTTTATTAGTCTGAACCATTTCGTACACAGTGGTGCCCCCTCCCCTAAGCAAATAGAAAGGTAAACTAGGGGATTCACTGATAAAAATTTTAAAACCATGTGTTTCTTTAGTTGAACGAGCAATTTTGCTAATACCTTAGGTTTTTCAAAAAATTTTCCATATTCAAATGACAATTTGGCACCCCCATGATACCATTTATTGAGATTTTATGCTTGCAGAAGCATAAGTTTCCAGTCCACACCTCAGGTGTAGGTCAATTTCTAAGATGTTCAGATTAAACACTGCTAATTATAATTTTAATTTTAAAACACAGTGATGTTCACTTTATTACTCCAATATATCCGATATATCCAATCTCTCCTTCAACCGGACACCTGAGGAGAAGATCTACGAGGAATAGATGATATCTAATATCTATTGCTCAGGATTTGCGATTGTGCTCTGCCAATTGCATCACTTAATTTAATTTATTGTATATATATATATTATACATACTGTTTGAAATAACTTTATTACTCCAATTCATCATAATATTTTAATATCATACAGGGTGGGCCAAAAGTCAGTGGGCATACGTTAGCCTAATAGCTCAGTCACTGAGTGCCCAATTGAAATAATTCTTTCTTATATGACTTACTACTATCACTGGTTCGAGGAATTTGTCAAATCATTGCGTGAGCAAATTTCAATCGCACGTCCTGAAGATCGGGTCCAAAAATCTATCTTCTCCTACATTTTTTGAGCAAGCACCCTCAAACTTTCAGGACATGTTCTTAGGATCAGTTAGAAGAGAACTCTAGACCCAGAATTTTGAGATAAGCCTTAGAGATTTTTAATTCGATTTTGAAAATCTTGGACCTCGTTTTTTGTCAATTTTCGAGAGAATTTTAATGAAGACCCCCCCCCCCCCCCCTAAAAAATAGGGTATATATAATGAATATTGTTGTTTTCAAAAATGTAACAACTTTGATTGATGCAGAATATGTTGTTAGTGAGATGAATAGCTATTGACTTAGAAGATCTGATTTCCAACCTCACACCTCCTTTTGCTTCCCAACATGGAGGAGGAATACAAACAGTTGCCTACAACTGAAAGGGTTGTTAGCAGTAAGTTTAAACATATGTTTAATTTATTATAATATAATCTTATTTATTATAATAATGTCTGAGCTGATGTGAAAGTGCATAATTTTGGTAACTTTATACAAATATTTGTCCATAAAATCTGAACTGATAATGAAGTCCATAATCTTGATATTTCAACACTAAGTCTCGCTTGAATGACTTACATGTACATCTTCGTTGGGTATATTTCAATGTGGAAGTGTGTAATTAATGTTAGAATTTATTTATTTTATTTATTTATAATTTGCTAAACTAAATGCATTGTTACTTATATGAAAAACGAATATTAGAGACCGAATGCAATGGAAATGGATATTATCACATACTTTTTTGAAGTACAAATGAAATGAATGGTTGATCATTGTGTTAATTATACCAGTTTGTTTTCCATTTATGTTGATGATATATTTAAATGTTACATGGTCTCTCTTTCAGCGGTTCCATACCCTCCAACAGAGTTACTAAGAATAGAGCAGGTATTCGACGAGGATGGAATTCCTAAAATGGATGTATTAAAAGCGCATTTCTGTGCTGAGGGAAAGTAAGTTAAAACACATTTCATTGTGATGATACACCTCAATATTGTTTGTACCCAGTAATAACAACTTAACTTATAAGATATTTTTAGAGATTATTTATTGAAATGCTTGTTTGATCAGAGAGTGGGCACTTGTTATCATTAACGGCACTTTCCATCAGGTTAACAGAAGAATGTGCACTACGTATCATTAATGACGGTGCTGATATTCTGCATAAGGAAAAAACTATGATTAATGTAGAAGCACCTGTAACAGGTTAATATAGTATTATATTGTGAACCAAGTTGTGTATCTCGATTCTTGTAACCATGTTACCATGCTGTATCTAGTTTAATATTTTACCATAGTGTAAAATGTTACCATAGTAACAATTTGTGTAACATGTTACCATAGTAACAATTTGTCTTGTGTCTCGTTACCATAGTGTAACATGTTACCATAGTAACAATTTGTGTAACATGTTACCATAGTAACAATTTGTCTTGTGTATCGTTCCATAGGTGCAGTGAGTTGTATAAAACATGTTACCAATGTAGGTACAGTGAGTTGTATAAAACATGTTACTAATGTTTCAGTGTGTAACATGTTACCATAGTAACACTAATGTTTCAGTGTGCGGTGATATACACGGACAGTTCTACGATCTGATGAAATTGTTCGAAGTTGGAGGATCTCCGGACACAACCAGATATTTGTTCCTCGGCGACTATGTAGACAGGGGCTACTTCTCTATTGAGGTGAGGTAACAGGAGGACACACAATATTATAAATAACTACACACAGGACACAATAACACGACAAGTGTGTGGCTAATGGTTCACAATACACTGAGTAATGAATAAGTAATACTACCCTTAATATATATAATTATAATATTGATGTGGCCAATCATTACCCCACATAATGTGGAATATTCTCTGTTCACTATTATCCGTAATAATACAGTGGGGATCCTGAACCCCTCCACCAGCTGCTTAATACATATACAGTGAGGTATACCCCCCCCCCGTGATAATACAGTGAGGTATACCCCCCCGTGATAATACAGTGGGGTATACCCCCCCCCGTGATAATACAGTGGGGTATACCCCCCCGTGATAATACAGTGAGGTATACCCCCCCCGTGATAATACAGTGGGGTATACCCCCCCGTGATAATACAGTGAGGTATACCCCCCCGTGATAATACAGTGAGGGATCCTGAACCCCCCGCCCCCCCCCCCCCGTGATAATACAGTGAGGTATACCCCCCCCCCCCCCCCCCCCGTGATAATACAGTGGGGTATACCCCCCGTGATAAAACAGTGGGGTATACCCCCCCCCCCCGTGATAATACAGTGGGGTATACCCCCCCGTGATAATACAGTGAGGTATACCAACCCCCCCCCCCCCCCCCCGTGATAATACAGTGGGGTATACCCCCCGTGATAATACAGTGAGGTATACCCCCCCGTGATAATACAGTGAGGGATCCTGAACCCCCCGCCCCCCCCCCCCCCCCCCCCCCCCCCCCCCCCCCCGTGATAATACAGTGAGGTATACCCCCCCCCCCCCCCCCCCGTGACAATACAGTGAGGTATACCCCCCCCCCCCCTTGATAATACAGTGGGGGATCCTGAACCCCCCCTCCAGCTGCCCCTATGATTAATAACACACATTAACACACAATTCTCTTTCAGTGCGTATTGTACCTGTGGGCCCTGAAGATAAAGCACACAAACACACTGTTCTTATTACGTGGAAACCACGAGTGTAGACATCTAACAGAGTACTTTACCTTCAAACTAGAATGTAAGTACACCTAACCTTCAAACTAGAATGTAAGTACACCTAACCTTCAAACTAGAATGTAAGTACACCTAACCTTCAAACTTAAATTTAGTATACTAGAGGGGGGGGGGGGGTGTCACGTCCGTCTATGTCCGCTTGTCTCATAGAATCCAAAAAGGACAGGACATAGGCGGACATAGGCGGACATAGGCGGACATAGGCGGACATAGACGGACATAGGCGGACATAGGCGGACATAGACGGACATAGGCGGACATAGGCGGACATTAATGGACACCTAAATTGCTAAATAAAATGTTCAATTTTTGCTGTTATAGGGGGATCATGTTTTTTTGTCCGTTCGGTACCCTATATTTTCAAAACGGACAAAAAATAGAGCGGACAAAAATGGACAAAAACGGACAAAAATGGAAATAACATTTAGATGCTTCCTCCTCCTACTCTTCCTCCTCCTCCCCCCTGGGTCTTCCTGATCTTCCTCAGTCCTCTTCCTCCTCCCCTCCTCAGTCCTCCTCCTACTCCTCCTCCTCGTTCTCAGTCCACCTCATCAGTCCTCAACAGTCCTCCTCCTCCCCAGTCCTCCTCCTCCTCCTGAGTCCTCCTCCTGGGTCCTCCTCCTGGGTCCTCCTCCTCCTCTTCATCCTCCTCCTCTTCCTCCTCAGTCCTCAGTCCTCCTCAGTCCTCCTCCTCATCCTTCTCCTCAGTCCTCCATCCTCCTCCTTAGTCCTCCCCCAGTCCCCCTCCTCCTCCTCCTATTCAGTCCTCCTCCTCCTCCTCCTCCTCAGTCCTCCTCCTTCTCAGTCCTCCTCAGTCCTCCTCCTCCTCCTCCTGAGTCCTCCTCCTCCTCCTCCTCCTCTTCCCTCTCAGTCATCCTCCTCAGCCATCCTCCTCAGTCCTCCTCAGTCCTCCTCCTCAGTCTTCCTCCTCCTGGGTCCTCCTCCTCTTCATCCTCCTCCTCTTCCTCCTCGGTCCTCAGTCCTCCTCCTCCTGGGTCCTCCTCCTCATCCTTCTCATCAGTCCTCCTCCTCCCCAGTCCTCTCCCAGTCCCCTCCTTCTCCTCCTCCTATTCAGTCCTCCTCCTCCTCCTCCTCCTCAGTTCTCCTCAGTCCTCCTTCTCATTTCTCCTAAGTCCTCCTCCTGAGTCCTCCTCCTCTTCCTCCTGAGTCCTCCTCCTGAGTCCTCCTCCTCCTCCTCCCTCTCAGTCATCCTCCTCAGTCATCCTCCTCAGCCATCCTCCCCAGCCATCCTCCTCAGCCATCCTCCTCAGTACTCCTCAGTCCTCCTCCTTCTCAGTCATCGTCAGTCCTCCTCCTCAGTCCTCCTCAGTCCTCCTCCTACTCCTGGGTCCTCCTGGGTCTTCCTGATCCTCCCCAGTCCTCTTCCTCCTCCCCTCCTCAGTCCTCCTCCTACTCCTCAGTCCTCCTCCTACTCTTCCTCCTCGTCCTCAGTCCTCCTCATCAGTCCTCAACAGTTCTCCTCCTCCCCAGTCCTCCTCCTCCTTCTGGGGCCTTTTCCTGGGTCCTCCTACTGGGTCCTCCTCCTCCTGGGTCCTCCTCCTCCTGGGTCTTCCTCCTCCTGGGTCCTCCTTCTCCTCCTCAGTCCTTCTCCTCCTCCTCCTCAGTCCTCTTCCTCCTCTTCCTCCTCCTCCTCCCTCTCAGTCATCCTCCTCAGCCATCCTCCTCAGCCATCCTCCTCAGTCCTCCTCCTTCTCAGTCCTCCTCAGTCCTCCTCCTGAGTCCTCCTCCTCCTGAGTCATCCTCCTCAGTTCTCCTCCTCCTCCTCCTAGGTCCTCCTTCTGGGTCCTCCTCCTCCTCCTCCTCCTGGGTCTTCCTGATCCTTCTCCTCCCTCTCAGTCATCCTCCTCAGTCATCCTCTTCAGTCATCCTCCTCAGCCATCCTCCTCAGCCATCCTCCTCGGCCATCCTCCTCAGTACTCTTCAGTACTCTTCAGTCCTCAAAATGTTTGTCCGCTAATGTCCACCAATGTCCGTCCAAGTCCGCCAATGTCCGTCCGGGTCCGCCAATGTCCGTCCGAGTCCGCCAATGTCCGTCCGTGTCCGCCAATGTCCCAAAAAACACGTCCGTTGTCTCATAGAATCCAAAAAGGACAGGACATAGACGGACATAGACGGACATGACACCCCCCCCACTAGACCTTCAAACTAAAATGTAAGTACACCTAACCTTCAAACTAAAATTTATTATACTAGACCTTCAAACTAAAATGTAAGTACACCTAACCTTCAAACTAAAATTTATTATACTAGACCTTCAAACTAAAATGTAAGTACACCTAACCTTCAAACTAAAATTTATTATACTAGACCTTCAAACTAGAATGTAAGTACACCTAACCTTCAAACTAAAATGTAAGTACACCTAACCTTCAAACTACAATTTATTATACTAGACCTTCAAACTAGAATGTAAGTACACCTAACCTTCAAACTAGAATGTAAGTACACCTAACCTTCAAACTAGAATGTAAGTACACCTAACCTTCAAACTAAAATTTATTATACTAGACCTTCAAACTAAAATGTAAGTACACCTAACCTTCAAACTAAAATTTATTATACTAGACCTTCAAACTAAAATGTAAGTACACCTAACCTTCAAACTAAAATTTATTATACTAGACCTTCAAACTAGAATGTAAGTACACCTAACATTCAAACTAAAATGTAAGTACACCTAACCTTCAAACTACAATTTATTATACTAGACCTTCAAACTAGAATGTAAGTACACCTAACCTTCAAACTAAAATGTAAGTACACCTAACCTTCAAACTAAAATGTATTATACTAGACCTTCAAACTAGAATGTAAGTACACCTAACCTTCAAACTAGAATGTAAGTACACCTAACCTTCAAACTAAAATTTAGTATACTAGACCTTTAACCTAGAATATAAGTGCAATGGTCTTATATAAAGCCTCTTTCGACGCTGATGAATAAAGATGAAAGGCATAATTGAAAAGCAGACCGAATTTCTTTTTTTCTACAACCTTGTTAAAAATCACGAGTCTTCAACTCCCTTTTCGAGCAATTTTTGACAGCTCATTTTTAGTTCACTTGTTTTGGTCACTTTTCGGGGTTATTTCAACACGTTTTAAATATGTAATAGATAATTTAAATGTATTAATAACAACTATTTCAATCTATCAGTGGTCAACACAGCTATTATATGTTCCCTTATACTTGTAACTTAAATAATAATACTTGTAACTTAAATAACATATAAAACCACTCATCTCATTCTAAGATCCTGGTTTTATTACAATAAAGCTGCCATATTCAGCTGACTCAAAACATTGAGTATCATTATAATGATACTCAATGTTTTGAGTCAACTGAATATGACAGCTTTATTGTAATAAATAATGCATTATTCATTATACCCATTATAATATAACAATTAACTGCTCCTTCATATTACGTATTTACAGTACAGAGCGGTTTCTTTGATTCTTTGTTCAGTAGTTGCACATGGAAAGCGTGCAGTTAGATCATCAGTTCACTTCAACATTCTCCCACAATTATATTCGCTTTAATGATGATTTTATTAATGCTTCAAGGAAAGATTTGCATATAATTTAGATTGATATGATATGATACAATATTACATAATTTAAATTGAAATATGTCAACAATATGATTGTACAAGAAGCAATATTAGTAGCAGTAAGAAGCAATATTTTGTATCAGTGTTAGGAACTACAACTATTTGATCTGCACAAATCCCCAGTCTCTCAGAAGGCTTGCACATCTCACACGCTCGGTCAACTTGCAGACAATAAAACATTACATACTCACTTCAGCCATTTAAGCTCTTATAAAGTACTTGGTAACCAGATAAAATGTTAACAACGATTATTGGCTTATTCATTAAACTATTCATCTCATCACTTGATAATCTCTTTTCAGGTAAGATAAAGTACACTGAGGATGTGTATGAAGCTTGTATGACTTCTTTTGACTATCTACCTCTAGCTGCCATTATGAATGGTCAGTTCCTTTGTGTCCACGGTGGATTATCTCCAGAGATTCAGACTCTAGATGATATTAGAAAGGTAAGACATGAGATTCCGTCTGTAGACGGTATTAGAATATTAGAACAATGAAGCAATGATACCTGAGATTCAGACTCTAGATGAAAGGAGCGATTACGCACTGATTATATATGCAATAGTCTTATAATACCTTGGCAGTAAAACTTATAAAACTATAATCACATCCAATGTTTTAGATTTCATCACATTTGTATGTGTACCGGTGTTAGAGAAATATGTTGTTTTTTTTTTCAATAAATAAACACTGCAGATCATAAAATGCCTAAATAATCCGGGGAACAATCTGTACTTCCAGTCTGATGGTTTTAGAAAGGAAACAGTGACGTCATGACAGAAACTACCTATTGACAGAGCTCGCAGTTGTGTCTCAGTTTTCTTGCGAACGTCCGCCAATTGCTTTAAAAACTTGACTCAGTGTTGCAGTGATCTTAGGCCGGCCAAATATCACCACATTTTTACCGCCTTCCTAATCCTGCACCTGGTAACCATGGTAATTCCTCATCCTGCACGGCCTTTCCCGGCTCCTCAAACGTTTTATCCAGTTGCAGTGGCGAATGTGAGCAATTTCTTTGCAAGCTGTACGACTAACATTTAACTAATTAACTAATTGACTAATTGCTCGTTCTTGCAAGATATTCACTCTTATTGTAACCTGATGATAGTCTGCAGCAATCCAAGCAGCCTTCACACTATTTTAACAGTGTCAGTAGTCAGTACAGGCTAATAACAATGTAGCTCGAATAACAAGATAGCTCAAATCGTATCTTAAATATCGAAACAACATGTTTTAAGTGGGGCCGGAGATTTGGTCATGACCCGGCTGATTATAAGATTGTGGTACATTGTGTGTTACATTGTGTGTTACATTGTGTGTTACATTGTGTGTTACATTGTGGTACATTGTGTGGTACATTGTGTTAAATTGTGTGGTACATGGTAAATTGTAAAACTTTTGATTAATAGTTGTGGAACACAACAAGAAAATTGAGAATAATCTTGTGCGAGGGTAGGGACCCAGATGTCGTTTCTAACCCAAATAAACTTTAAGGAGGCTTCTCATCAGTAGCCGCACCTCCTTACTCGGTTTCTGAACTGGAATTCTATGGGCTTCCAGACGGCCAGACCGAGTATTACCACCCCATCCTTCTAGAGTTCATCACATGTAGCACCCACCTTGAAGATCTTTGACACCCAGACACACCCCATTGGCGAACAAACTTTGGATATAATCTTACATGCTCCCGAAGGAATCCCTGGTTTATGGTCTTTCTCATCGTCACCAGCACTTTCACTAGAGTCACCAGCCCTTTCACTGGAGTCATCAGCCCAATCACTGAAGTATACAGAAGTTTAGTTGTGGAACACAACAAGAAAATTGAGAATAATCTTGTGCGAGGGTAGGGACCCAGATGTCGTTTCTAACCCAAATAAACTTTAAGGAGGCTTCTCATCAGTAGCCGCACCTCCTTACTCGGTTTCTGAACTGGAATTCTATGGGCTTCCAGACGGCCAGACCGAGTATTACCACCCCATCCTTCTAGAGTTCATCACCCGAGCACCCACCTTGAAGATCTTTGACACCCAGACACACCCCATTGGCGAACAAACTTTGGATATAATCTTACATGCTCCCGAAGGAATCCCTGGTTTATGGTCTTTCTCATCGTCACCAGCACTTTCACTAGAGTCACCAGCCCTTTCACTGGAGTCATCAGCCCAATCACTGAAGTATACAGAAGTATAGTTGTGGAACACAACAAGAAAATTGAGAATAATCTTGTGCGAGGGTAGGGACCCAGATGTCGTTTCTAACCCAAATAAACTTTAAGGAGGCTTCTCATCAGTAGCCGCACCTCCTTACTCGGTTTCTGAACTGGAATTCTATGGGCTTCCAGACGGCCAGACCGAGTATTACCACCCCATCCTTCTAGAGTTCATCACATGTAGCACCCACCTTGAAGATCTTTGACACCCAGACACACCCCATTGGCGAACAAACTTTGGATATAATCTTACATGCTCCCGAAGGAATCCCTGGTTTATGGTCTTTCTCATCGTCACCAGCACTTTCACTAGAGTCACCAGCCCTTTCACTGGAGTCATCAGCCCAATCACTGAAGTATACAGAAGTATAGTTGGTAAAACTTTTGATTAATATGGGATAACAGTTAACACGTCATATTTACATTTTACACGTGTCATCTAGTCACTAGATTCTAGTGTTTAATATAACTCAGTGTACTGTATATAGTGGTAAACTATGTAGTTAGAGTCAAATCTAACGGAATAAACTTGTTTTGTTTAATTTACTCAATCTATTATAACCACTAACAGTACATAATACTGTTTATATTTAGACACGTACCTACCTGTTGACATGGTTACCATCATATTTATAAAGGAGCAGTTCCAATTAGGACCCCACATAATGTTACGGAAATAATAATAATACGTAGAATTATTGTTCAAATTGTGAGGAATTGTGGCCGGCCATTTGACCTTTAGCGGAAAATTAGCTCACTGTTCAATACGCACTGTTATATTGCCCCCCCCCTCTCTGTTCAATACGCAGTGTTACATTGTTAGGTTTATCAAAGTGATATTACTGAAAGTAACTGGCTAATTTATTTTTGCATTTTTATCATATATTATACACGTTTAAAATATAACTACATCTTTCAGTTGGACAGATTTAAAGAGCCTCCCGCATACGGTCCCATGTGTGATCTGCTGTGGGCGGATCCTATAGAGGAGTTTGGTAACGAGGGCAACAACGACCACTTCTCTCACAACTCAGTGAGGGGGTGCTCTTTCTTTTTCAGGTCAGCACACTGTTAGAACATTAACAAATAAAACGCAGGTTTGCTGCTAACCCCCTCCAACCAGTTTCAAGCGCCCTTATTACATAGTGATCTCAGTGAATGTAATATATTTGTGGTAATTAGTTTGTATGTGAGAGATGATCTTCTCGCAGTAATGAACAATAAAATAGTGAGTATATAATATACTACTATATATATATATATATATACAGGGTGGCCCATAAGTGACTACCCACACGCAACCTCTTAATAACTCACGTAATTCGTCTCCAAATTGCACCAAAATTTCAGAGATTATAGATATGGGTCAAACTTAGATTTCCTGAAAGTTTCGTAAGCCACGCCCAATTACAGTGGGCGTGGCGTGACACTCCCTCTTTTTCACTATTGTCTTCATAAAATGAGAACGCTTTAAGCTAAGAACTCAAACTTTTTTGCACACATTTGGCTTGATAATTGAAAACTTTTCCCAAAGTTTCAAGTTCATTGGTTAAAATATGGCTAAGTTATGACCATTTCAAAACTCATCGGATACGTGATCCGAGCACTCAGTCAGTGATCTCGTCACTTGGTTAATGGCCTGTTTGGCTCACATGCACCGCTCGATTCGTTGCATGTGGGCCGGCCTATACAGCTGACAGCACCTAAAACGCTATCACACGAATTTATGGTGGTGTCACCATTTCAGGGCTTGTTAGCCCTGCTAGTCACAGGTTCCTTACAATCAATAAAAAGGAATGAACCATCCATTGAATCATCGAAAATGGTTCACTATCCTCCCTTTACTGCAGAACAACGATTGTTCGTCTACCTGAAGAAAGAAAATGGGGTGTTCTACCCTCAGATTAAACGACAATTTCAGATGAAATTCAACCGACCACCCCCTTGCCGGAAAAGCTGCTTTGACATTCATCACAAGATCAAGTTTACGTTTTCTGCACACGATCGACGAAGAGTCGGCAGAAGACGAACTTCGAGGACTGTAGAAAACATCACGATGGTTGTTGGTGACGTGATGGACACACCTAAGATTGGCACCCGGAAACGAGCTCCTGCCTTAGACATCAGCAGAACAACCCTTCAGCGAATCCTAAAGCAAGACCTTTCTAACCGGGCCTACCGAATCACAAAGAAACACAAACTTTTGGAACGTGATTTCCAATCGAGGATGGATTTCGCCAACACATTCCTGTCGAAGCAGAATGTGGATCCATACTTTGATTTATCCTAAAAATTTGTGTTTTCCTTTCTAGCAAAGTCATCATCGGTATCCAATCAAAGCCTAATGAACCTCATTAATACACGCTAACGCCTTACTCTTGATCAGATTGGGTGACGAGATCACTAATTGAGTGCAAATATCACTGACTGAGTGCTCGGATCACATATCCGATGGATTTTAAAATGGTCATAACTCAGCCATATTTTAACCAATGAACTTGAAACTTTGGGAAAAGTTTTCAATTATCAAGCCAAATGTGTGCAAAAAAGTTTGAGTTCTTAGCTTAAAGCGTTCTCATTTTATGAAGACAATAGTGAAAAAGAGGGAGTGTCACGCCACGCCCACTGTAATTGGGCGTGGCTTACGAAACTTTCAGGAAATCTAAGTTTGACCCATATCTATAATCTCTGAAATTTTAATGCAATTTGGAGACGAATTACGTGAGTTATAAAGAGGTTGCGTGTGGGTAGTCACTTATGGGCCACCCTGTATATATATATATAATAGTGAGTATATTATGTTAATGCTCCTTTATAAATATATATATAATATACATTATATGAAACTAATATTTCAGTTTTCACGCGTGCTGTGAGTTCCTACAAAGAAATAATCTACTGTCAATTATCAGAGCGCACGAGGCTCAGGATGCAGGGTCAGTTTTATCACATAGTATTAACATCTGGTAACGATGGTAACACCTGGTAACCATGGTAACACCTGGTAACCATGGTAACACCTGGTAACCATGGTAACATTTGGTAACCATGATAACACCTGGTAACCATGGTAACACCTGGTAACCATGGTAACACCTGGTAACCCTAGTAACCATGGTAACACCTGGTAACCATGGTAACACATGGTAACCATGGTAACACCTGGTAACCATGGTAACACCTGGTAACCATGGTAACACCTGGTAACCATGGTAACACCTTGTAACCATGGTAACACCTGGTAACCATGGTAACACCTGGTAACCATGGTAACACCTGGTAACCATGGTAACACGTGTTAACCATGGTAACACCTGGTAACCATGGTAACCATGGTAACATCTGGTAACCATGGTAACACCTGGTAACCATGGTAACACCTGGTAACCATGGTAACACCTGTACTTCTCTACCCCCTTCTTTTTTCTTTTTCCATTTAACTACACCGTCCTTCATTCAATTACCAGCCCTTGTTGTGTTTGATTTGTAGTGTACCCCCCCCCCCCCCCCCTAGCCTGTAGTCTGTCATGTCTAGTTATTGACATTCTCTTTATAGAATCCATTTTATTATAAAATGTTTAAATGTCATAAAAATGTTTAAATTTTAAAATGGGGGGTGGGGGTCTCCCTGCGGTTACATGGTACCACTCCCCATTATTGCATTGTTGGGGAATTTTCCGGAATTTCTAATATACAAACCCGCAAACCGCCATTTATTTTAAATTCGGGTTTTACGTTGGCAAAGTGTAAGCAGTGGACACTTGATTCCCGGTTCCAAGTTTATTATTACTTAATTAAGGGCTTGGACAATGGAAACGAGATGGATAATAATGGTAAAAAAGGTACGAAACTGAACAACGAATAATCGAATAATTGCCCAACAAAACTCCTCATTACTCCGATTCATATTGCCTCAAATATTGCACGATAAAAACTCCTAATTACTCCGATTCATATTGCCTCAAATATTGCACGATAAAACTCCTAATTACTCCAATTCATATTGCCTCAAATATTGCACGATAAAAACTCCTAATTACTCCGATTCATATTGCCTCAAATACTACTCAACAAAACTCCTAATTTGGCTCCCGAACCTGTCCGGCATCAAATTGACCCACCTGTCGATCGGGTAAACTGTCACTCCTCCCTCCCAAAAAGTTAACTCCCTCTCTCTCTCTCGCCCCCAGATAGTTTAAACAATCTCCCACTCCCTGTTAGCAATCTCTAAACAATCCCGAACTAACCTGTCGATAGCCACAACATAGTAACTCTGCAATAAATGTCGTATACTAATATATGCCCCAAAATACTACGGTAACATACTAGACACCACGACCACCTTATTATAATCACTAATATACTAACTTCATATTACACAATATTACCCAAAATTCATCTCAATTGATCACGGCTTACAAAGTGTTTACTAATCAGTGTACATTTCACAATAATAATATTGCTCCTTTATAATATTGCTCCTTTCTTACTTCCCTATCTGAGTAATATGAATCTTGAGTAGAATACTTTTGTAATTGTAGCTTCGTCTATAAGATCATCACATAGCTAGGTAATGGTCGCATGTTTCTATCGTTAATCCCTGTAAAAGGAGAAACGCTGTAGAGAAACTAGAAGCTAGTTCAGAAGCTTGCTACGTAGGGATTACAGGGGGGGGGGTATTTAAGGGATAAATATTACTGGGGCCTGGGGGGGGGGGGGGGGGTATAAGGGATAAATATTACTGGGGGGGGGGCCGGGGGGTATAAGGGATAAATATTACTGGGGGGGGGGGGGGGGGGTGGGGCCTGGGGGGGGGTATAAGGGATAAATATTACTGGGGGGGCCGGGGGGTATAAGGGATAAATATTACTGGGGGGGGGGGGGGGGGCCGGGGGGTATAAGGGATAAATATTACTGGGGGGGGGGGGGCCGGGGGGTATAAGGGATAAATATTACTGGGGGGGGGGGTATAAGGGATAAATATTACTGGGGGGGGGGGGGGGTATAAGGGATAAATATTACTGGGGGGGGGGGGGGGGGGGGTATAAGGGATACATATTACTGGTTTAAACTGGCTGACATGTATTAGTCATATCCTCACAGAAATAAAATGTGAATGGTTTATAGTGTGACACATGTAAACACTAAACATGTAAAATAGTGTGACACAGGTGTGGGCTGTGGGGCCGGGGGTTGTGGTATTTACTGCTATGTAGTATATTACAACTTGTGTATACATATTATATACTACCTAGATACTGTGTATTTAACTAGGTTTTCGGGAATTCCACATTGCACAGTAGTTGTATAGCAACACCTGTGTAACATTTCACACTTATTCATTTCCATTATTCACTACCCCTATTTAACCTCTCCAGAATATAACCCCCTGCGTAGTCACTCTGTGACACTGTGTACTATTTCTGTGACACTGTGTACTATTTCTGTGACACTGTGTACTATTTCTGTGACACTGTGTGCTATTTCTGTGACACTGTGTACTATTTCTGTGACACTGTGTACTATTTATTTGACACTGTACTATTTATGTGACACTGTGTACTATTTCTGTGACACTGTGTGCTATTTCTGTGACACTGTGTACTATTTCTGTGACACTGTGTGCTATTTCTGTGACACTGTGTACTATTTCTGTGACACTGTGTACTATTTCTGTGACACCGTGTGCTATTTCTGTGACACTGTGTGCTATTTCTGTGACACTGTGTACTATTTATGTGACACTGTGTACTATTTCTGTGACACTGTGTACTATTTCTGTGACACTGTGTACTATTTCTGTGACACTGTGTACTATTTCTGTGACACTGTGTACTATTTCTGTGACACTGTGTACTATTTCTGTGACACTGTGTGCTATTTCTGTGACACTGTGTGCTATTTCTGTGACACTGTGTGCTATTTCTGTGACACTGTGTACTATTTCTCTGACACTATGTACACTGTACTATTTCAGGTATCGAATGTACAAGAAGAACCACGCTACTGGATTTCCTTCCCTCATAACTATCTTCTCCGCACCAAACTACCTGGACGTTTATAACAATAAAGGTAAGAAGAGAGGGAGAGGGAGAGGGAGAGGGAGAGGGAGAGGGAGAGGGAGAGGGAGAGGGAGAGGGAGAGGGAGAGGGAGAGGGAGAGGGAGAGGGAGAGGGAGAGGGAGAGGGAAAGGGAGAGGGTCAGTTACCTTTTGGAGTTTTGGGGCTCATGTTCTCTAGTACAACTTATCAGGACATATTTATTCAGGGTGGACACAGATTTTACAAATTGTAAGGCTTGAAATAAAATGTTTCTTGCATATTTTGTGTGGCAGTTTCATATTGAAAAGCTACAATCAAATATGATATACTCTAGCCACACAATAAGCATAGGGCTCATACATCATTATAGTGCGGTCATGTAGACATATTATTATATTATAGTACATATCATACATATCATACATATCATACATATCATACATATCATACATATCATACATATCATACATATCATACATAATATCAATTATAACGTGAATATTATACAATGAGAGGAGCAGTGAGGATATACCACTAATATACCACTAATGTAACACTGTAATAAGTGTTATATTGTCAAACTTCCAGCTTTCAACTGGTGTAACATTACACTCGGTGAATTACATTACACCCGGTGAATTACATTACACCCGGTGAATTACATTACACCCGGTGAATTACATTACACCCGGTGAATTACATTACACCCGGTGAATTACATTACACCCGGTGAATTACATTACACCCGGTGAATTACATTACACTCGGTGAATTACATTACACCCGGTGAATTACATTACACCCGGTGAATTACATTACACCCGGTGAATTACATTACACTCGGTGAACTATTTGTATTGCTGGAACTTAGCTAGCTATGAAACTTTATTAACAAGTTCATACCTGTTGTTACATTAAGGAATTAGCGTTGTGCATTTGAAAATGCGTGTAAACTTATTAAATCTGTATCTAACATTTAACCAATGTTGCTTGTTAACTTTAATTTTAATTGTGTAAGAAACCCGACATAGCCCAGTGGAATAAGAGATAGAGTTAGAGATGGGTTGGAATTAGGGATAGGGATTGGAATTAGAGATAGAGTTAGAGATGGGTTAGAATTAGGGATAGGGATTGGAATTAGAGATAAAGTTAGAGACGGGTTGGAATTAGGGATAGGGATTGGAATTAGAGATAGAGTTAGAGATGGGTTGGAATTAGGGATAGAAATTGGAATTAGAGATAGAGTTAGAGATGGGTTGGAATTAGGGATAGGAATTGGAATTAGAGTTAGAGATGGGTTGGAATTAGGGATAGGGATTGGAATTAGAGATAGAGTTAGATATGGGTTAGAATTAGGGATAGGGATTGGATACGCGTTTAATTCCACAATATGTTTCCACCGTGAAATTTCCTGTCTTATTCAGTGCCCTGATTCGTTCCTAAGCTAAAGTCTTGAAATTATCGTTGTAATTAATTATAATTATAAAAAGTGAACTGACAATCCACCTCATTACTGACATTGTATCTCACAAATTATTTATTACACTGTAATCCACTTTTAAAATTATTTTATATAACACGTCTTGATACTTGATACTTATTATATTGATGATTGTATAGTTGGTTTAACTACTGTGATATCATCTTTACACTAAAGAAAATGACATAACAAAACAAGGATAATGACAGCATTAATAAACAAAACAAAGAACTAGAGTTTAAACTATGTCCCGTCTATAAATCCTACTGAAATTTACATTTTACATCCTTGCTTATTAGGACAATACATTCCGCCCCGATTATTTTGCATAAAACTCCAGGGGAATGTACTGAGTGCCGTTCAGTATTTAGGCTCCTTAATGGGAATCCCATTATTATGGTTTCAATGATTTTGAGATAGGCGCCATTGGATAGAAGTGGACCAATTAACTGATCGCTCATCAGTGCCCGCAGGTCATCTGATTTGTTACCCTAAGATAGACTTAAAACCAAAATTGTGCTCTACTTGTAGCTACTTGTATCGCACAAATAAATTCGCAGCTTGGCGACATGGGTTTGACTATATAATGAGGGTATGTATGTCACTTTAACATAAAGAAACATATATGTAGCAACATGTAACACCTTACAGCAATGTTATGTAATATATGATACCGTATAATCGGCGTACGCGTGTTCCAAGGGATAACAAAATCGCAACTATTCCTTGCTCTTTTCGCACACTGGCGTGGCCGGCTGGCCACGATCGTGTCTTTGATCTGTTTAAAGTTCTCCCTTGCTCATGTAATGATATGATATTTTTAAACCCCTCTAGAAATCAAACTGTAATTCAGTTTTCAGTTCTCTAAATCGATGATAAATCCATTAAGATTGAAAGCTTAACGCGCTCACCGAATGGGCCGAAATGCACCGAAAAGCTTTCAAAATTTGGACTTAACTTTGTACGGAAAGTACATATTGTAGCAGTTAGTACACCAGTTTGCAAAGCCGCGCACGCGCCACTGCCTGCTAATCTGTTTTAGAGTTTAATTTTGCTAAGTTTCTTGTTTTTATTTTGTATCTTTAATATCCTCTGAACTTCATATGTTCATCGTATTTCTTATTTCAGCGGCTGTTTTGAAGTATGAAAACAACGTCATGAACATCAGACAGTTCAACTGTTCTCCTCATCCCTATTGGCTCCCCAACTTTATGGACGTGTTCACGTGGTCTCTTCCCTTCGTCGGAGAGAAAGGTTAGTCTTACATTTCTACTTAATGGTAGTTACCAGTTAGAGCTACTATGATTTAGGGATATTTCTTACTTTGGAAACTGATGTAACCAAATTGAATCATTAAATTCTTTATTGTGGGCATTCCGGTGATTATTCCTAAAGCTAGAATTGTAATAGTCACTACATCACTAGTAGTAGTAGTAGTACATCACTGAAATACCTCATTTTACTACTAAAATTGGGAATCTGTCACCGGAACACCGCTTATTAGTAGCTCTGCTTGTTAAAGTCCAATAACTGGGTACCGCCTGTTTTAGTCCCCACTCTCAACTAGACTCTGGAAATAAGGTGGACAAGTGAGCACCGGGGCCGGAATGTTAAATATATCTCATTTTGTAAGAATAGATTACACCACCTAGTCACATGTGACATCACCTAGTCACGTGCTACACCACCTAGTCACGTGTTACACCACCTAGTCACATGTTACACCACCTAGTCACGTGTTACACCACCTAGTCACGTGTTACACCACCTAGTCACGTGTTACACCACCTAGTCACGTGTTACACCACCTAGTCACGTGTGACACAACCTAGTCACGTGTGACACAACCTAGTCACATGTTACACAACTACCAGTTCAACTGCTCAGCCTTTATACTAACCGCGTTATATTCGTTTCAGTTACCGAAATGTTGGTTTCTATATTATCTATCTGTCCTGATGACGAAGTAGATGGAGAGGGTGAAGAAGAAGGAGAAGGTAAGAAACAATGACCCCTTGTAGCCTATTAGTCACTAGACGATCCTAGTCACTAGCTCTTAATCTGTCATATTTTAACTCGCTTAATACATAAATATAAGACAACGTGCTTGTAGAATATAGAAGAGCTTGAAATTAAGGGACGGTAGTAGTATATCATAGAGAACTGTATTTATATTACCTGGTAGAGACCATGCTTGTAGCATGTTCTGCTCCTTCGTAAGGAATGTAAGGAATGCATGATCAAATAAATACTTTGTCTCAGATGTGACCCCATCTCTCACCTCAACAGAAAGTGAGTCCGTGTGTTATATAAGCACAGTGGGTAAAATTATTGTGTGACAGTAGCACATTGTGTCACAGTAGCACATTGTGTGGCAGTAGCACATTGTGTCACAGTAGCACAGTGTGTCACAGTAGCACATTGTGTCACAGTAGCACATTGTCAATTGTGTGACAGTCGCACTTTAGCAGTATTTCTAAATACTGAGTGTTGCAAGATGAGAGCAACAGGAAATAGCATACTCGGCATCGCCTCCCCGTTCTGATCCGCAGTAAAAAAAGCACATTTCTAAATCTTTACCCCCTGTGTAACGTAACTCTTAGTAGTGTATATAGTATAGTGCTTTGTGTGTAAAACTAACATGTTAATCTTATAATCATCATTCAAGTGGTAAAAATCACATTCAATGAAATCAATTTGCATACTCACCCACAGGCCACAGACCACGGTTACTCCTCCTCCCTCCCTCCCCCATCACTCACCCCACTCCTCCCTCCCTCCCTCATCACTCACCCCTCCTCCCTCCCTCCCCCATCACTCACCCCACTCCTCCCTCCCTCCCCTATCACTCACCCCCTCCCTCCCTCCCTCCCCTATCACTCACCCCACTCCTCCCTCCCTCCCCTATCACTCACCCTCTCCTCCCTCCCCCATCACTCACCCCACTCCTCCCTCCCCCCCATCACTCACCCCTCCTCCCTCCCTCCCCCCATCACTCACCCCACTCCCTCCCTCCCCCCCTCCCTCTCCCATCAATCACCCCACTCCTCCCTCCCTCCCTCCCTCCCCCCATCACTCACCCCTCCTCCCTCCCTCCCCCCATCACTCACCCCACTCCCTCCCTCCCTCCCCCATCACTCACCCCTCCTCCCTCCCTCCCCCCATCACTCACCCCACTCCCTCCCTCCCTCCCTCCCTCTCCCATCAATCACCCCACTCCTCCCTCCCTCCCTCCCTCCCCCATCACTCACCCCTCCTCCCTCCCTCCCTCATCACTCACCCCTCCTCCCTCCCTCCCCCCATCACTCACCCCACTCCTCCCTCCCTCCCTCCCTCTCCCATCAATCACCCCACTCCTCCCTCCCCCATCACTCACCCCTCCCCTCACTCACTCATTCAGAAGATGACTCACCCCTATCATCCCTCCCTCCCTCCCTCCCCTCACTCACTCACTTACTCACTCACCCCTCCCCTCACTCACTCACTCACTCACTCACTCATTCAGAAGATGAGCAACTGGAATGGTATATGGATATCCTGAGAGGTGTGTTTAACGGAGGTGTGTCCTCACGAGATAAACCAACTTCCAGCCACACTGCGGTTGATAAACTGCCTACCTCTGAGACTGTGGTTGATAGACTGCCTATCTCGGACTCTGAAGCTGAAAGATTGTCTACTTCCAGCGCGCATTCTAGGAAGATTAGTAGTGCAATTCATGACCACTTACGTTAGTCATTTTTCAACATTTACACTCCAATCAATATGAACTGATTACATTGCCATTACACATTCATCTTACCAGCAAAATACCAATTATATTTCATACTACCGCTACTTTCACTCTCACTAATTCTTTTCTTTGAGTGTGTGTGTGTGTGTGTATTCTTCTGTAGCACCTGCTTTAACGCTCAAACCACTTGCTCCTTCATAAACCACGCAGCTGACACCTTGTTTTATTTCAGTAATAACGCCTGCAATGCAAGAGGCCAGGAGGGAGGTCATCAAGAACAAAATCCGGGCTATCGGGAAAATGGCACACGCCTTTACCGTTCTAAGGTGGGAGCGCGGGTGTTTTATTGTTAAAACGAGTTGGTTTATCTTTAATGAATTAAGTATTACCTGAATTATTAAATAGAGTTGGTTTATCTTTAATGAATTATTAAATAAATTATTTCAGAACTTATCTTATTATTGTATAATGCTAATTATCTATTAAATTCAGGGAGGAAAGTGAGAGTGTTCTCCACTTAAAGGGACTAACTCCCACTGGGAGTATTCCTAAAGGTGTTCTGATGGGCGGTAAATCCGCTATTGAAGACGGTAAATCTTAAGTAGAGTGTCTTGTATTTTAATTGGAATTAATAATAATAACTAAATAGTTCCTCTTATTTCCTCCTTCTATTTGAGTTGCTCCTTCATAATGTGTTCCTTTTACAGCTATAAGTGGATTTGAGCGAGCTAAGCAGATGGACCGTGTCAACGAAAAAATGCCTCCGAGAACAAATAGTACCACTGCTGTAAGAGTTTATTTTATTATAAGGACACGTTCATTTGAGTTTGAGGATATTGGTAAACAAAAATAATAGCGTTTTTGACGATAGTGGCTTAATTTTGACATCTATTAACTTAGCACGTTCAGAAGTTCTGAACATTAGCCACGTAACTCATACTCCCATATGCACCGCTCAGAAAGAAAATCTACTGTTGTTAGGCACTATAATGTTTCAAATGTCACATTTTGTGTGACTTAGTTAACTGCAGTTGTCTAATTATCATTCCTTGGTCTGAAATATAGTAAATTAGGTCAATCTAACAATTATGATACAACATTGGTTAATGGGCACGGATCGAACGGTTACAAGGCAATATTTGGGTAACTTTGTCACACTCATGATACCATACCTCTATTCTACTGTGAGGTGTCCTAAAAACCCTTTCAACTCATTATTTGATGGTTGCTCTACCAATCATAGCCCTAAAATATATTGTTTTGAATAGTTAGCTAATACAGGCACTTGGTTATTGGGAAATGAGGTTAATTCTGTCACAATATATGAAATTTTAAATTTTGGGCGAATTATTTATATCTGATTTTGGTTTGAAAGGTGGGAAAATTTTATATGATGACAATGTAGTTGATGCAAGTTAAGATCAGTTGATGTTTACATTGTCACAAAAAATTATACGAAATCGTAAATAGATTAAAAACAATGATTATAGAATGAAATAGTCTCTTATAATAACTCTTATAATAACTGATGTGACAAAGTAAACATGTCTTGCCCCTATTTGGAAGATCTATATTCTATACCTTTATTAGAATATTGTCCAGAATATCAGAGCTTAAGTTTAACAATTTTAGGTTAAATTTGTCAAAGTCACCAAAAATGTGACAAAATTAACTTTTCATGCCCCAACAATTTCAAGATAGTGTGTAAAAATTAGCATAGGCTGCTTTATTACCTATATAAATCAATCCAAACTACAAAAATATATATGTTAATGTGATGATGATTACCTAACTCTTATAATAACTGATGTGACAAAGTAAACATGTCTTGCCCCTATTTTGAAGATCTATAACTCTATTAGAATTCAACATTCTTTCAGAAACGATTGGAAGAATATTGTCCAGAACATAAGAGCTCAATTTTAAAAATTTAGATTAATTTGTCAAAGATATTAAAATGTGACAAAATTAACTTTCCCTGCCCCAACAGTATCAAGATAGTGTGTTAAAATTGGCATAGGATGCTTTATTACAGGTATATTAAAGTATTAATCGATCCAAACTACGGAAAAAATATCTTTTAATCTGATGACGATTACCTAACTCTTATAATAACTGATGTGACAAAGTAAACATGTCTTGCCCCTATTTTGAAGAACTATACCTCTATTAGAATACTATGTAACTTTATCATCAACAAAATTTCGATAAAGTAGTTATTTTGCCAGCAAGGAGCTAACAGAGTTATAATAATTTTTTGTGACGAAATTACCCTATTTTTGACCATGTAGCGGTAGTTTAATTGTGACACTGTTAACATATTACCACCTGATAATGATTTATGTGACTGGTGCATGGTACTATCAGTGTTGTTTGATCCATAGTACGTAATATAAGGGGTTTAAGCTGGTATATCATTATTTGTTCAATTTCACACATGTTCAGATATCATCAAGATTATGTGACAAAGTAAACTTGGTTGTGCCTTCTGTGTTTTAATTCCTTACGACTATGTGATATAATAACAATTCCCAGCACTTCCAGGCTATCAAATAAACTTACACTACTCAGCATTGCTTATCAGGGTGCCCTAAACATTCATCACATATTTTCTTTAATGTGTGACAGAGTAAACCTGAATGCACCATCTAACGAAAAAAGTCGTAAAATATGTAGGTAATGGTCATATGTACCCATCCAATCAACTGGACACTAAAAATGTTGGTCAAAAACGGCAGCAAGGGGTCCATATTTACTCCGTCACATGTTTATAGTGTGACAATGTAACCATTTCCGTGCCGGCCGTATTTAAGCGATATCTTATCACCTGATTAAGATATCCTTATGTGACAAAGTTAGCCTAGAGGATGAGACGATTATCCTAACCATCAAGGGATTAAGTAATTTCATAGTGTGACAAAGTCAACTACACTGTGCCTTCTAATAGGGTCACTTATATTTACCAATATCCTCAAACTCAAATGAACGTGTCCATAACTTATTTTATATTATGCTGTACTAAGAGTTCATTTTATTATAACTTATTTTATATTATTTTTCTACTTTTCTTAGAAACGCCTTACTCGTAAACTTTAATTTCAATCATGATTCATCAGGAAATCATATCGAAGATTTATCTAATCAATTACTCCTTCACAAACTATTTAACTAATTACTCCTTCACAAACTATTTAACTAATTATCTCCCAGGAAGTGCCGCAATCAGGGGATCAGTAAGCAGCGGCGTTTGACCGTTGCCATAGTAACATAGCGTTGTGTGCCTGACAAGTGCCAGAGTAACGTTCTTTGGTATACAATTAATTTTGGTCTTTTTCTTAAAGTTACTATGTTGATGAAAGAGCACTGTGCCTATTATATATGATGGTGTAAAGTGAAATTGTTGCCAGAATGTTAAGGAGCTGCGGACCTTATTTATTTAATTGGCTTATTGATTAGTTACCATAGTTACACTACTAGTGTAACAAGTGAGTTACTATTGATTAGTAAAGTAAGTGGAAGTTCAGAAAGCAATTTAAAGTTCATGTTGTGAGGAGTGGGCAGGTTGTCATAATTAATTAGCTAATTAACTAATTAAGTTGCAGCTAGCTCGTTCGCTAATTTATTTTCATTGATCAACTTTATAACTCAACACTCATTCTTGGGAGACTTTCACTAACTAATTAGTAGTAATTAGTAGCATTACTACTACTACTACTACTACTAACTAATTAGTAGTAATTAGTAGCATTACTACTACTACTACTACTAATAGTCCTCCGTTTCAACAGTGAGGCAAGGCATTTAGTTAACACAGTGTACTACACTTAATTATTTTTGCTACTGTACTACTACTGTACTACTAGTACTACTGTACTACTACTATTTTGCTAGTATGTTTTCGTTACCTATTCAACTGCCGCCCCATATCTTATGTTTTGGTTTTTTAATTCAACTTTAGTAGGTGTAACAGATAGCAAGGTTTATGAAATGAGGAGCCCTATATTTCTTATCATAAAACGTGCATATTATGCAATTTTTTCATTTTATGCGAATTGTATATCTTGCAACTCGCGTGCTATGCATACTGCGTACCATGCAAGTTGTATTGTATTGTATATTGTAGCAGCACTCTAGCAAGTGATTTAAGTTTTACCATTAGTTTTCCACTCCATAAGTTATTAGCTAATTAGCTAATAGCTTGTTCAGTTGGTTAAATTTTACTGCAATTCTCTAACAGAACTGGGGGTTATTTTCAGTGATTAAGCAAGTTGTTGTTATGATGAGGGAACACTATGTTACAATTTTGATAAGAATTGAGGGAGAAGGCTGTGCAATTCTTTGTCTTTATTTTTCTAGTCTGTAAAATAAAAATTCTGGGATTTTTGCCTCTTTCGGTGGATTAACGATATATTTGAGGCGAAACCTTGGGGACGGGGCATGTGTTTAAAAACGTAGAATTAAAATAAATTGAAGTTAAGGGTGGGAGGTAGAGTTATAAAGTGCCTCTAAACGACCTACCACGTGTTACACAGGAATGTAAGCTGCATAACTTCACCCCTTAATATCAGGACTGGGAAACACATTTTTTAAAACTTTCACATCTAGTTTGGAAGGGCGATATTCTAGCTCAAATTTTGAGACTTCACCACGACTACCGTTATGCTTATACTTATAGTGTTTTGCTTTTTGGATCCGTTAATAAAACGAAATATATTGCTACACTGTGTAGTAACATGAATATTACTATGTTATGTAAATTTTGTGAATTGCTATTCATCCATACATTGGTTAAACTTTGTTTTATTTGTACACTAGAATTTGTAAGGTGCAATATTGCCCTCTAAATAATAAGAATTATCCCCTGGATTTGTGCTGTGTATGGAAGCCCAGTGTCCGACACTTCCAAAGTGTAGTGTATTCATTATATACGTGTGTATACATTATATACGTGTGGTACTATCCAAGAAGCCCAACACAGCTCCGTGAAACTCCACCGAAATGTATTACGGTGGAATTCTACGGAATTGTGTCGGGCTTCCTCGTACCAGTGACAAACATTCCGTTACCTGGGGACCTCAGGCTATTATGTTCACAAACATAGAGATTCGGCGGAATGACAGGCTGAGCGCGGCCCAGTAAACATTCCGCCGCATTCTGTTTATGAACAGAAAAACATGAGGTCCCCATGTAAAGGGATGATGATTAATCACTCGACTGTCACGTGACTTCTTCAACCCGTTCTCTTTTTCAACCCGTTCTCTTATCTAGCTGGTACTGAACGACTATTCGAAACCCTAACCCTTTAATCTGATCCTAACCCATATGCTGAAACCCTAACTAGCTCTAGGGGGTGCACCATAAAAATAAACTTACTCGGATTTAAAAAATTTTTGTACCATTGTTTTCTAGAGACTGTGAGAATTTTCACAATACCAAATATGTCATACCTTTTTGGAAAAATCCTAGTGAGTTTCGCCTAGGTGCCATATTTGATGGTGCGCGGCTTTTGCATTTTGGAGCAAAATTAGCTGTAAAAGTCGCGTAATTTGACCAAATTTAACCAAATTCGTTGGTTTTTGTCGTATTATTTGGATATATCTTCAGTTCCTTGAATGAGATCATTCTGAAAATTGGCGACGACCTTCCAATAGAGCTTTCACAACTGTCCGAAAAATTTGGTGGATATCAGAGTTGATATAGTGATCAAAATGGGGCAAAATACGCTGCTTTTAGCTGTAACATAATGTCTGATGGTTGGATATGCTTTAAACTTTTCGGACACTTTCCTTGTAAGTCTATGAGTAAGCTTACCAATTTTTGTTGCAATCGGAGGTCGGGAAGGATACTTAATATCTATTTGTTTGAAGAAAATTGTGCTGGCCGAAATTAGCTCTAAAAAACCATCCTACAGTCGGCACGCGCGGCTCACTGTCGATGGCGCACTACCTACCCTAACTAGATATTAGACTAACTTCCTTATACGATCATATCACGTGATCGAGACAGTTTTTCGCCAATATCTCGTCAGAGGATCATTTTAACCCTATGTCATGTGGGGTGATTCGGAATCAGCGTCCGAAAATAATCGATTGAAGTTGGTTTCAACTGTCGGGGACCCTTTTAGAACAATCTCGAAGATCGACTGTAGAGTGATTTAGCACGATCGCATGTAAAGAGTAAGGAGGTGAGGATAGATAGTATCTTGTAAAAATGTAAAATGATTTGTAACTCCCATTTACTCAATCAGTTTGAATAATAACGGGTGATACTCTTAAGGCACAGTTTGTGTCTTCCGCGAAAGCACACTCTCAAAATTGCGCGCATTGAAATAACTACTTTCAAACTTCATGAATCCATAGATCAAATCTTTTGTTAACGGGTGATACTCGTAAAATATCTATTCCATATATTAGGACCGTCGACGAGTCCAACTCGGCGCGCGTCATGGTTGTCATACGTTTTATGACCCGCCGCGCGGCTCCCCCTGTATCGTAGAAACTATACAGTGAAGCGACAGTGGGGTCACCACGTGATACAGCGTCCTGGTAGGTAATAAAGCTACAATTTTTGATAAAATTACCGATTATATTCACGTATTATATAGTAGTACTTGTTTTGCCATTGATACGAGCGTGCTGGATCACTCTAAGTTTTACCTGGGGACCTCAGGCTATCATTTCCATGTTCATAAACATACGAATAGAGATTAGGCGGAATAACAGCAAACAGGCTGAGCGCGGCCCAGTAATTTAAGTTTACACAACACTGGAATTTCAAGATTCTTCTAAAAGTGACCCTGACAGATGAAACCAATTTCAGTAGACGTATTTTTGAATCTAGGTACTAGGGTTAAAGTGCTTCCCTGCCAAGCTATCTACAATCTATGAAACTGTTTAAATCACGTGACATGACCATATTATATAAGGAAGTAGATAGACTTGCTCTAACCAGAGCCCTGCAGTACGCGTATACACATGGCTATGTTGTATGTGAATAGATAGACTATTTCGTGAAAGTTTAACGCGCTCCCACTAAATCGCTCGCCCAAATTTTAAGAAAATTCTTGTGAAAGGCCCTGAGGGTATGTAATGAAAGTCACCTGATTCGGTTAATTCATTGGAAGATGATTTCGAATCACCCCGCATGACGTACAACGTAGGGTAAAAATGCTTCCCTGGAAAGTTATAAGCAAAAAACTGTTTTGGTCACGTGACAAGCTAGTTGAACACGAATTCGATTGTTTAGGGTTAGGTTTAAGGCAGTGGGAGGGGAGGGGCTTTCTGTTAATATTTAATTAACAGATTCAAGATGTGGCGGAGTAACAGCAAACAGGCTAAGCTCCGCCCAGTAAATTTTCTTTTCGGGATTTCCAAAGATGGTTTGCTTAAAACTTAGGTTTTGGGGACAGAGTATGAGTAATTTGTCCAGTCAGAGCCGTAGCAGAAATCACGTACGTCGTATGTGACGGATAATTATCCGGTTTCTTAAACATTAAACTCTTTTACATTGTAGCAGAAATAAAATGTAAAGTCTTTGTCGGCAGAATGTGTATACGAGGACATCCTAACCTCAGATACCACCCTTAGAGATCGCAGATACTCTTCTTGAATTTGTAACAATAGAATAGAAATATACGAATTTTAGACCTTCAATTTCATGTTCCAGCTCTGCCTGAACACTAAAAACAGTGAAGGATGTAGGTCCAGTAAATAAAGTCTTTTTAACGGTTTCCATCAGACCCAAACAATATCTGTAAATCTGGTTAATAGTAACTTCAAATTGATTGTCAAAAAATCTTGCTGATTTCATTTCACTTAGATCAAATTCAAAAGAGGAGTAAAATTTAAATGATAGCACAACAGCAGAGTACCCCGCATAGCGGAGAGCGAGGCTGTTTACTTTACAATGACTGTGCAAGGTACCAGTTTTTCGGGCATTATTCAGGAAATTAAGTGAAATAGTTACTCTCGCCAAAGAGCCAGAAAATGTAAAGCAAATTTTGTTATTCTTTTGGATTACACGGCAAAGGCAGCCAAGCCTGGGGCAAGGAAAGCAAATAATCCCGCGTTTAAACATTCTTTTCAAATCTTAAAATGTTCGCAACTGTGTGCTTAATTTACAATGCGCACAATAATAATGCTGAAACCATGTAGTTTGTGGCTCGCGCTTAATGCGCGGCGCGTATAGTCCCGCTAATTTGAAATCGAAATATTTAAAGGGAAACAGTCATTTCGTGGAAATTAACAACCAAATAAACAAATTTATGATAATGAAATTCTTAAATATTTAAAAAAGCTGATAGCGTCCATAGAATTAAGTCACTTTTAACAGTCAATAACGTGTGTATCTAGACTCCAAATCCGGCAAGTTTTCGGAGTCAGATTCAATATGTCTTGTATTTTCAACCTTCTAACAGCTTTATTTCATCTATCAAGCGTTTACTGTGCGTAATATAGTCAATAGGTTCAACTGATAGAGCTGTACACTTGAGTCTGAAAGAAAACGTATTAGTAACTAAATCAACAGAATAGTAAATACAGTAATATTAGAAATATGTACATTGCACGTAAAATAACTTTTAAAATTTAATACATAGAAACTTGTTATATGCTCACCGTGATTCGTCCATATACGTTTCAGTTCTAGCCCGAATCTTGAAGTTATACGCTGTAAAGTTGACTTTGTTCATTGCTTGTTCAAATTCTGCTTCATTTGTTTCCTTCAGTTTGCCAAGGTCATCGGCTGAAATTCCCAACAATTTCTCTGCTGTTTCCTGAACAAATATTACACATTAATTAAATAACTTATACCGATACGTTATACATTATAATATGTACATTATTGATTTGTATAATTTGTACATATTAATTAGGGCAGGAACCGAGTGTGCCCATTTTCCCACGGTTTGTCACATTTTGTCAATCTTGTCGTATATTGTCATATATTGTCAAATCTTGTCGTTTATTGTCAAATCTTGTCACATCTTGTCATGTATTGTCATATATTTTAGTATATTGTCGTATATTGGCACATATTGTCACATTTTGTCGTAAAATTGTCATGACATTAGGCGCTCTCGGTTCCTGCCCTAATTAGTATCGATTTACAAAACACCCAGTTTGGAACGTATAAAATGCTTATTATTATATATTATATATATATATTATATTATTATTATTGACATTCCACAAACCTGGAAACATGTGACCCACTCGTTGCCAGTAAAGTCAGAGAGTTTCACTGTTAGCATTAATCTGTATTTGAAGTTGGGATAGAGTTTGTCACATTTCTCACAACGATATTCTGTAGCTGATTCTTGCATTACCTGCAGTAATAGTAGTAGTAATAGTAGTAGTAGTAGTAATAGTACCTGTAACAAAATATGCGAGAAAACATAATTAGTAAGAAAACTTAAGATAAAACATGGGGCTGGGGATGCCCTCCCTCCCTGAGCCTGTGTTTTCATTTCGGGAACTGACAAAATAGCTGACTAGTTAAAGCAAAATTGATTGGAAATAAAACTTGAAAAAACGAATGATAACCTTTTTATTACAGTCAGCGCTGGGACAGGCCTGGTACATACAGTTATCTTTTTTAACGAACACTATTGCTGCATGGTTACTGAAATACTCCGGCTTATCCTGGAAATAAAGAGTAAATGAAGTGCTCAGACTACTTTGTTTTGAGTCTCGGGGCTACAATGCAGCTCTAATTGGCTGATCAACTTATAATGCAGCTTTCTGATTGGCTGAACAACTTATAAAATCTCATATATCTCACCTGAATGTTAGCCTCCTTAATTTCACCAAATGATTTGTGAGCAGTCTCCATTCCACCCCCTCCCATACCTCCAGAACCGGACATTTGTCTGACAGTCTCGTCTTTACCGGTGGTATCGTACCATCCCTTTAACTCGTGTGAGGGGGCTGTGTCCGGATTAACCTGGTTCATACTTTATCAGCTCCATTTGCATTGTTCATGCTGTATCTTACTTTACTAGTGCTGCTATGTTACTTTGCTAAAAATAAACAGTAAAGTTAAAACATATATTACCAGTAAAGTAGAGCTGAAAGAAACAGAGAGAGACCGGCCCCCGAAGTCGCTGACTTTAGCTGCCTTAACAGCAATGACAGGGTTTGCAAGTCCTGTGTCGAACTTATCAGCATCATTTCCCCAGAGTGTCAGAGACACTGCTGCTCCTGATTTGTCTTGCAACTTTACTTCTCTTTTAGTGAGTTGCTTGCCTGACGCCCTGTCATTTAGAGAAATAATTAGACAGCTGTTAAATACAAGAAAGTTAATAAGTAACCATGGTTACTAAGGCAAGTAACCATTGCATGGTTACTAAGGCAAGTAACAATGGGGGGTCGGGTCATCAGCAGAAATGGTCAGAAAGAGTTAACCGGGGTGCTCCCGCTAGTCTTTGAATATTTACCATTCGTTAAAAAGAACTTTCGTTGTTTTATTGAATATTGAACAGAATTATGTCAATATATACACGAGGAATGAGAATATAAACATTAAAAATATTTGAAATTTCTGATATCTAACCTAGCAGTAATAGACTGAACGTCTCCAATATCAGTAGCTATTCCCATTATATCCACAAAACTGTTATTCTCGCATCTCTCCAGGTCTGATATCTGAGTAAACTCCATTTTTATCTGCGGAACTGCATCTCCGTCTAAAAGAGAAGTAGTTACGTGACCATGGTAACTAGTAGTGTAACTAAGCATATGGTAACTAGTAGTGTAACTATGGTAACTAGTAGTGTAACTATGGTAACTAGTAGTGTAACTAAGCATATGGTAACTAGTAGTGTAACTATGGTAACTAGTAGTGTAACTATGGTAACTAGTATTGTAACTATGGTAACTAGTAGTGTTACTATGGTAACTAGTAGTGTTACTATGGTAACTAGTAGTGTAACTATAGTTACTAGTAGTGTAACTATGGTAACTAGTAGTGTAACTAAGCATATGGTAACTAGTAGTGTAACTATGGTAACTAGTAGTGTAACTATGGTAACTAGTATTGTAACTATGGTAACTAGTAGTGTAAAAGAGGACTAGTTTTTAGTTCTCTTATTCCTTTATTAGTAACTTAACAATAGTTATAGTTATAAGTGAGTACTGACCCTCGCACTTAACAATAGTAGTGTCACTATTTATCGTCATCTCGTAGTCGTTCTTTATAGCAGTGTACTGTTTATTAGCGGTCTTGAGAGAGCAGCGGGAAACGTAGTACACTTGACCTTGTTCTACTACGTTGTAAAACTTATCTACTGCGTCTGTGAAACCTGAACAAATAGATATTACCAAGGTGCAGATCGGGACAAAATAAAATAATAAACAAAACATTATCGTCTTTGCAGTTTGCTTATTTTGTGCCTCGTGACAACAATACAGCTCTCTGATTGGTCATTATTTGTCTCGTGACTACAATACAGCTCTCTGATTGGTTAGTATTTGTCTCGTGACTACAATACAGCTCTCTGATTGGTTAGTATTTGTCTCGTGACTACAATACAGCTCTCTGATTGGTTAGTATTTGTCTCGTGACAACAATACAGCTCTCTGATTGGTTAGTATTTGTCTCGTGACTACAATACAGCTCTCTGGTTGGTTAGTATATTCACCTGTACACCTAATCTCTCCACTCTCGTCCATCAGCTCCAGACTGAACAGTTTCCCTTCTCCCCGTGCGTTAGACCACGTTCTAATATCACTCTTCTTGGTTACCCTGTAGTTACACTGTGTTATCTTATATAAATATAGCTATAGTCATTATCTACATTAAAGTATCATTATTATTATCTATTTATCAAGATATCAATTTGTTACCTAGCCTTGATAGTCCACTTGTTCTGATAGGGGTTGAGACTCTGTATCGGATATATATTACCAGGTGTGCCTGAAGGAGCAGCTCCTGCCATGCCTCCTGTGGGAGGGTTATTATAACCAACTAAATATAATCAAATCCCTCAAATAAACAACTCAAGTTAATCAAAGTAACTTATATATTATATATATTAAGTTCACTAAACTAACCAAATAAAGTTAACTAACCAGAATTGAAAGTAGAGACTGCGCTGGGTACTGAAGTAGAAGGGGTGGGGGTCTTGTTAACCTCGGCTTGTATCTGGTCATCTGATAGCTTTACAGGGTTACCTGAGTGGGATATTATAAGTTACATGTAATGATGGGGGGCCGGGGGTGGGGGAGTGGGGCCGGGGGGGGGGGGGGTGCAGTTGGGGAGTGGGGCCGGGGGGTGCAGTGGGGGAGTGCAAGTGGGGCCGGGGGTGGGGGAGTGGGGGTGCAGTTGGGCCGGGGGTGGGGGGGGGGAGTGCAGTGGTGCAGTGGGGCCGGGGGGCGTAATGATAAACCATCTGATAATGGGGATAATGCAAACTAGATTATATATATCTGGAGTTATAATTAGTAGTATTAGTACAAAGTGTTTTTATTTAAGTTATTTAAGTGACATCATTACAACTCACCTATCTTCTGTTCAGGGTAAGATAAGATGGAGACCTCTAGTATAAGTACGAAGTGTTTGTTGTTAGAGTTAGTCACGTTGTAACGCTCTACCTTTACTACTGCATTCTTCCTCAACGTGTCGTCAGCTATCTGAGTAGAGTAGTTACACATAATATACATATACACATAATATATACACATAATATATACACATAACCTTCGCTTCACGGTCGTCGTTAAGATGTTAAAATAGTTCAACACATTAGTAAAACAACTAACCACTTTGTCTATTTCGTCCCCAACAGAAAGCATTGTGGTGAAGTTAGTTCCATCACTAACTAACAGCTTGTTTTTATTAGCTCCACTTCCTGAAAATATTCTAGTTAAAGAATAAAGATAACTAACTAAGTTAACTGCAAGTATACTAAGTATACTAAGTTAATATAACATGAAAGTAACATTTAAAACATGTAACGTTAATGTAAAATTCACTCCTAAATAAGTAAAATAAAACCAACTAACCTGACCCACATTTCTTTATAGCGTTTATCTGAACGGTGGGTTTGTAACTGTCTGTATTGATGGACTGATTAAAGAATTTCAGAATTCCATTTGGAGTCAGGTCTTGTGCCATTATTTTCCTGAATAAGCTAATTATTTTCTTAATAAGATATGTAGACATAGTCAGTGTGTTTAATGACATGTACATCTGAATTGCACGCAGCGAATAATTGTAAGCGATCAGTGATCAAGTAATGAGCACTTAGCATTATAGGAAACTTGATTGAGGGTTAAATGAGGAGGGGCCCTGCCAAAAGATCAAGAATCTTCTTAGGATACCCCTTTAGTACATCTACATTGTAGTGTACTGTAAACATATAGTATTCTAACTAAGGAATATTGCAGGTTTTTTTGTAAAAATAAAATAGTCTATATTACAAAAAACAAACATGAAAGCGAAAGGTCATCAATGTGATTTTTCATCTTTTAAAACTAACATTTATCATGGCTATATTGTTAGCTTCTGTTCCTGAAAATTTATATTTTGTACAATAATAAATATACACTGCAAAACACAAATTAAATTGTCCCTCAAAAATCAACGAAATCAGAATTGTTGTCTACACGACATCATTAAAAGAATTTTAAATTTGAAAAATTACAAAATTGGAAATAATTATCCCAACCATATATAAAGAATTGAATCCAGAAATTGAAACCAACCAATCAGAGCCCAGTATTCACAACAGAACCAGCACCACGTGACACAGCCCAACCAATCAGAGCCCAGTATTCACAATAGAACAAGCACCACGTGACACAGTCCAACCAATCAGAGCCCAGTATTCACAACAGAACCAGCCCCACGTGACACAGCCCAACCAATCAGAAGTTGAGATTGCTCCTAGAAAGCTTCCTAGCGAGCATAGTAGGAGTGCTGGACCCGCTTCCCCCGGTGTTCAGTGTTCTCAGTTTCTTTATAACAGCCTCCAGCAGCTGGTTCATCTCCTTCTCATTCTTGTTCATACTGAAACTCTTGAAAGAGAACTTCTTGCTATCTTTATCCAGGAACCTCTCTAGTACTCTAGCCAGCACCTCAGGTGCTATGTTACTAGAGCTCCTACTACTCGGGTTAAACTCAGCTATATACTTGTCATAGTCGGACTGTTTTATCATGTTTATAACATTGCGGAGTGTCTGGATTGGGATCAGCAGGTTTATATTCTTTACACCTTTCACCGGCTCATCCAGAGCGAACCCCTCGTAAGCGATCACGTCCTGATCTAGAATATCCAGTGCTACACGTGACATCTGTGTTATGGTGGGATCTAGAAATATCTCCAACAGTTTGTTAGCGATGTGTTTACCAGCTTCCTCACAGGCTCCACAAGCTACGCTCTGTTCTAGTTGAGTGAAGGTTCTGAACTTGTTGTTGAGGTAGGTCAACATGTCGGTTATGTAGTCGCTAGGGTACTCTCTTACTTCGCTAGTCATCCAGTTGTAGCGAGACAGTTCAAAGAATTCGTCTATCTTCTCTGTCAGCTGGAGAGAAAGGCATGTGTTAATTTAATGTATAAGTTGATTAATGTATTATAAGTTGATTAATGTATCAGTTAATTAGGCTATTAGTTAATTAGTCTATTAGTTGAATAGTAGCTGCTATTTCACCCATCTGAATAGTAGCTGCTATTTCACCCCTCTATTTCACCCATCTGAATAGTAGCTGCTATTTCACCCCTCTATTTAACCACTCTATTTCACCCATCTGAATAGTAGCTGCTATTTCACCCATCTGAATAGGAGCTGCTATTTCACCCCTCTATTTGACCCCTCTATTTGACCCCTCTATTTAACCACTCTATTTGACCCCTCTATTTGACCCCTCTATTTAACCCCTCTATTTCACCCCTCTATTTCACCCCTCTATTTCACCCCTCTATTTCACCTCTCTATTTCACCTCTCTATTTAACCCCTCTATTTCACCCCTCTATTTAACCCCTCTACCGTACCTTGACGTGTATCTGTCTCTTAGCCTCCTCCTTAACATTATCAAACATCTTCAGTCCGTACAAATCTTTAGCCTGAGTACTAGACACAGTGCATCCTGTTTTAGAGGATACGAACGTTTCCATAGAGTGAGAGTAGCGCTGTAAGAAGGAAGTATTGATGCTGACTTGTACTATCTGGGATAGTACCAGGTTCTTCTCTTTTATTAGATCTATCAGACAATCGTTCAGTGTTTTAGTGAGAAGCTCGTTTGTAGACTTCCTAACTAGATCGTCTACTTCAGTCTGGCTCAGGTCGAGATGAGTTGCGAATTGTAACGACGCCTCTATGTACTCCTCCATTAGTATGAATATTTCAGGTACTAGTTTAGAGAAAGGTAGATGTACTGGGAACTTCATGTCAGTCCTATCTAGTGCTTGATAAGCACAACCCATTAACTGTTGGAGTTGTACATCTGAGTCTACTGTGAGAGGAGAGTAGTTGTCTTTACCTGAGGGACAAATGGCAATTAGTTAACTAATTAATTAATTAGTTAGCTAATTAATTGATTAGCTGATTAATTAGTGACACAACAGCGAAGTGTTACACAATAGTAGTATGAAGTGAAAATTTGTGGTATTTAAGTTTTCCTTACCGAAAACTTCCTTGAACTTTGTTTTCCAGAGTGACTGAAGACTGTCACAGTACTTCTGGTACAGGTTTATAAGGAGCTTATATAACTTGGTAACGTTTAGCTCGTACCCGCCCAGAGTCTGACAGAAGAGAACTAGAAGCAGCTTGAGGTCTAGTAGTTGTTGAGGCTGGTCATCCTTGTTCAGAAGCAGCTGGTCTAGGTTACCTGTAGGAGGAAGGAATATTAGTTAACTATATAATTGGTTAACTAGATAATTGGTTAATTAGTAAACTTGTCAAATTATAGATAATTAGTAAACTAGTTAAATAGGTAATTAGTAAACTAAGTACTAAGTAGAGGACCTGATATCTAAATAACATAAAGTTATTAAAATATCCCTAACTTAATTATTAATTATTACCTAGACAAGACAAGAAGAGGTTCCATAGTTCATCAATAGAAGTGTGAGTAACAAGTCCTTGCGTAGTGTGTAACAGTGTGTTCTCTATAACAAAGAAGCCCACAACTTTACAGAAATACTCCGCATTATAAGAGTCTGAGTCTTGGGAGGAGTCCCCCAACTTTGGCACAAATTTAAAAGTAAGATCAGCTTGTTTCTTTCTGTCCGCGTGGTACTCCTTGGCAAAGTCCTCCTTTTCTCCAATGATGGAGTAGATATGCAGGCACCGGTAAATGGGAGCGAAGTTTAGGAAGTCTAGTGGCCCGTCCTCTATACTCTTAGGTCTTCTCCCCAGGATGTGATCTAGTGGGAGAAATAAGTTATTTTATTCAGCATTAACAGAAAATTAAAATAAATAAACTATAAATAAGTTAAGTTATTTTATACAGCATTAACAGAAAATTAAAATAAATAAACTATAAATAAGTTAAGTTATTTTATTCAGCATTAACAGAAAATTAAAATATATAAACTATAAATAAGTTAAGTTATTTTATACACCAATAATAGAAAATTAAAATAAATAAACTATAAATAAGTTAAGTTATTTTATACACCAATAATAGAAAATTAAAATAAATAAACTATAAATAAGTTAAGTTATTTTATACACCAATAATAGAAAATTGAAATATATAAAATTAAAATAAATAAACAATATAAAATTAAAATAAATAAACTATTTCTGAACTTCTTGGTGCTGTGTTAAATGAGATAATTTATATTGCATTTGGAAAAGGAAGGGAAACACAATGTAGGATAAGTTATAAATTAACAGCTGTTTTATGACATGGTTAGAGCTGTACATAATCTAGTTAATTAATTAGTTGATTAATTAATCAGATAATCGAATAATTAGTTGATTAATTAATTAGCTAATTGATTAATTACCTATCGGAATGTCAGTGTTCATGGTCTGATGACTTTGCCACATAGCGTTCAGTCCAATATCTTGAGATTTCTCCCTGATAGTTTTTAAGAAGTCTTTAAGATCACATCTGGATATCTCCTTGATGGTTTGTCTAGTTTTGGGTATCTGCTGTGACATGATGCTAGCGAAACTGTAGGAGGAGATAGGGGGAAGGTAAGTGTGCTCCAAGTGTCCTAATATCTTTATAGCGCTGTAGTAATTCTTATTGTGCATTTCTTCCTTTAACTTCTGGTACATCTCCAATACAGGTATACACAGCTTTATAGCCTGCAGTTATTTAGTTGTAATTAGTTAGTTGTTAGTTAGTTGTCACACTTTACTTAGGAGTAGTGTTGTTTACATGAGAGTCAATAAAACTTCACAACTAAAATTTATATCTATTTCATCTTCTAACCTCATCAATGTGGAGGCCATGTTCTATTATAGTATTATATACCTGTATAGTGGAGGCCATGTTCTATAATGTACCTGTATAGTGGAGGCCATGTTCTATAATATACCTGTATAGTGGAGGCCATGTTCTATAATATACCTGTATAGTGGAGGCCATGTTCTATAATATACCTGTATAGTGGAGGCCATGTTCTATAATATACCTGTATAGTGGAGGCCATGTTCTATAATATACCTGTATAGTGGAAGCCATGTTCTATAATATACCTGTATAGTGGAGGCCATGTTCTATAATATACCTGTATAGTGGAGGCCATGTTCTATAATATACCTGTATAGTGGAGGCCGTGTTCTATAATATACCTGTATAGTGGAGGCCATGTTCTATAATATACCTGTATAGTGGAGGCCATGTTCTATAATGTACCTGTATAGTGGAGGCCATGTTCTATAATATACCGGGGGGGTACCAATGGCATAAAATGGCATAAATGGCATACGTTTTATGGCATAAATGGAAATTTTTATTGGCCAATTCTCCATTTATGCCATGAAATTAGGTCTTCATATTTGACTTTAAATTCGCAAATTATTATTAGTACTTGAATAAGAGACATGTTTCATGCTTTATAACGCTTGGAATGATCGTTAAAGATTCATATGACAAATAAATAAACTAGAAATGTATTATATCAAAAATGGCATAAATGGCATACGTTTTATGGCATAAATGGAAATTTTTATTGGCCAATTCTCCATTATGCCATTTATGCCATTGGTACCCCCCAATATACCTGTATAGTGGAGGCCATGTTCTATAATATACCTGTATAGTGGAGGCCATGTTCTATAATATACCTGTATAGTGGAGGCCATGTTCTATAATATACCTGTATAGTGGAGGCCATGTTCTATAATGTACCTGTATAGTGGAGGCCATGTTCTATAATATACCTGTATAGTGGAGGCCATGTTCTATAATATACCTGTATAGTGGAGGCCATGTTCTATAATATACCATCAATGTGACAATTATATACCTGTATAGTGGAGGCCATGTTCTATAATGTACCTGTATAGTGGAGGCCATGTTCTATAATGTAGGCCATGTTCTATAATATACCTGTATAGTGGAGGCCATGTTCTATAATGTACCTGTATAGTAGAGGCCATGTTCTATAATATACCTGTACCTTACAAGACATTTTCATAACGTACGAAATGCGACGGTTTTCCCGAAATTTCGCCATATTTTCGGACCGCCAAAATTTCGGTCGTCGTAATAGAATCCGTCGCATTATTTTTTAGCTTATTCCAATAATTGTGGCTTCATCGATTCATTTTGTTCTTGAAAAGTTAGTGATATGATGGTGGGACAAATAAACACAATATTCCATGATGAATTTAATGTCAAGTAATACGTTTTAAATTTACAATAAATTACATTTATGTGCTAACATAAACGTCTTATAAGAGACTAAGTCAAGATAAACAATTTAATATCAAACTCAATAAGTGAAACTGAAAGAGTCGAGCCGGACCCCTTAGAGGAAGATGAAGAAATCGATTTATAAGTTTCATTTTGTTTAAACATGATTTTACCGATTTTTAGAAAATTTTGAATTTCCTTTGTGTCGGAAAACAAAATGATGAAAAATACCCTTATTTTCTGTGACGTCCGAAATGTGACGGTTTTTGTTCAATTTCGCCATATTTTCGGACCGCCAAAATTTCGGTCGTCGCAAATTGGTCCGCCACAAAAATGTCTTGTAAGGTATAGTGGAGGCCATGTTCTATAATATACCTGTATAGTGGAGGCCATGTTCTATAATGTACCTGTATAGTGGAGGCCATGTTCTATAATATACCTGTTTAGTGGAGGCCATGTTCTATAATGTACCTGTATAGTAGAGGCCATGTTCTATAATATACCTGTATAGTGGAGGCCATGTTCTATAATATACCTGTATAGTGGAGGCCATGTTCTATAACATACCTGTATAGTGGAGGCCATGTTCTATAATATACCTGTATAGTGGAGGCCATGTTCTATAATGTACCTGTATAGTGGAGGCCATGTTCTATAATATACCTGTATAGTGGAGGCCATGTTCTATAATATACCTAGCCTGTATAGTGGAGGCCATGTTCTATGATATACCTGTATAGTGGAGGCCATGTTCTATAATATACCTGTATAGTAGAGGCCATGTTCTATAATATACCTGTATAGTGGAGGCCATGTTCTATAATATACCTGTATAGTGGAGGCCATGTTCTATAATATACCTGTATAGTGGAGGCCATGTTCTATGATATACCTGTATAGTGGAGGCCATGTTCTATAATATACCTGTATAGTGGAGGCCATGTTCTATAATATACCTGTATAGTAGAGGCCATGTTCTATAATATACCTGTATAGTGGAGGCCATGTTCTATAATATACCTGTATAGTGGAGGCCATGTTCTATAATATACCTGTATAGTGGAGGCCATGTTCTATAATATACCTGTATAGTGGAGGCCATGTTCTATAATGTACCTGTATAGTGGAGGCCATGTTCTATAATATACCTGTATAGTGGAGGCCATGTTCTATATTAATATACCATCAATGTGACAATTATATACCTGTATAGTGGAGGCCATGTTCTATAATATACCTGTATAGTGGAGGCCTTGTTCTATAGTATACCTGTATAGTGGAGGCCATGTTCTATAATGTACCTGTATAGTGGAGGCCATGTTCTATAATATACCTGTATAGTGGAGGCCATGTTCTATAATATACCTGTATAGTGGAGGCCATGTTCTATAATATACCTGTATAGTGGAGGCCATGTTCTATAATATACCTGTATAGTGGAGGCCATGTTCTATAATGTACCTGTATAGTGGAGGCCATGTTCTATAATATACCTGTATAGTGGAGGCCATGTTCTATAATGTACCTGTATAGTAGAGGCCATGTTCTATAATATACCTGTATAGTGGAGGCCATGTTCTATAATATACCTGTATAGTGGAGGCCATGTTCTATAACATACCTGTATAGTGGAGGCCATGTTCTATAATATACCTGTATAGTGGAGGCCATGTTCTATAATGTACCTGTATAGTGGAGGCCATGTTCTATAATATACCTGTATAGTGGAGGCCATGTTCTATAATATACCTAGCCTGTATAGTGGAGGCCATGTTCTATCATATACCTGTATAGTGGAGGCCATGTTCTATAATATACCTGTATAGTGGAGGCCATGTTCTATAATATACCTGTATAGTAGAGGCCATGTTCTATAATATACCTGTATAGTGGAGGTCATGTTCTATAATATACCTGTATAGTGGAGGCCATGTTCTATAATATACCTGTATAGTGGAGGCCATGTTCTATAATATACCTGTATAGTGGAGGCCATGTTCTATAACATACCTGTATAGTGGAGGCCATGTTCTATAATATACCTGTATAGTGGAGGCCATGTTCTATAATGTACCTGTATAGTGGAGGCCATGTTCTATAATATACCTGTATAGTGGAGGCCATGTTCTATAATATACCTAGCCTGTATAGTGGAGGCCATGTTCTATCATATACCTGTATAGTGGAGGCCATGTTCTATAATATACCTGTATAGTGGAGGCCATGTTCTATAATATACCTGTATAGTAGAGGCCATGTTCTATAATATACCTGTATAGTGGAGGCCATGTTCTATAATATACCTGTATAGTGGAGGCCATGTTCTATAATATACCTGTATAGTGGAGGCCATGTTCTATGATATACCTGTATAGTGGAGGCCATGTTCTATAATATACCTGTATAGTGGAGGCCATGTTCTATAATATACCTGTATAGTAGAGGCCATGTTCTATAATATACCTGTATAGTGGAGGCCATGTTCTATAATATACCTGTATAGTGGAGGCCATGTTCTATAATATACCTGTATAGTGGAGGCCATGTTCTATAATATACCTGTATAGTGGAGGCCATGTTCTTGAGTTCTAGTCGCTGTGATATTAGAGACTCGTGGGAGTCTATAAGTTCGGCGCTGTTAGAACACAACATGGTGTCAACGTTACAAATATCAGATTGTAGTCCTTTAACCATGTTCTGTACTTTCAGTAGCTCGTTAACACAATCTATAAAACCCTGCAACAATGTTACTGTTACTGTTACTGTTACTGTTACTGTTACTGTTACTGTAGCTCGTTAACACAATCTATAAAACCCTGCAACAATGTTACTGTTACTGTAGCTCGTTCACACAATCTATAAAACCCTGCAACAATGTTACTGTTACTGTTACAGTAGCTCGTTCACACAATCTATAAAACCCTGCAACAATGTTACTGTTACTGTTACAGTAGCTCGTTAACACAATCTATAAAACCCTGCAACAATGTTACTGTTACTGTTACAGTAGCTCGTTCACACAATCTATAAAACCCTGCAACAATGTTACTGTTACTGTTACAGTAGCTCGTTCACACAATCTATAAAACCCTGCAACAATGTTACTGTTACTGTTACAATAGCTCGTTCACACAATCTATAAAACCCTGCAACAATGTTACTGTTACTGTTACTGTAGCTCGTTCACACAATCTATAAAACCCTGCAACAATGTTACTGTTACTGTTACAGTAGCTCGTTCACACAATCTATAAAACCCTGCAACAATGTTACTGTTACAGTAGCTCGTTCACACAATCTATAAAACCCTGCAACAATGTTACTGTTACAGTAGCTCGTTCACACAATCTATAAAACCCTGCAACAATGTTACTGTTACAGTAGCTCGTTCACACAATCTAGAAAACCCTGCAACAATGTTACTGTTACTGTTACAGTAACTCGTTAACACAATCTATAAAACCCTGCAACAATGTTACTGTTACTGTTACAGTAGCTCGTTCACACAATCTATAAAACCCTGCAACAATGTTACTGTTACTGTTACAGTAGCTCGTTCACACAATCTATAAAACCCTGCAACAATGTTACTGTTACAGTAGCTCGTTCACACAATTTATAAAACCCTGCAACAATGTTACTGTTACTGTTACAGTAGCTCGTTCACACAATCTATAAAACCCTGCAACAATGTTACTGTTACTGTCACTGTTACTGTTACTGTAGGCATTAGACCGGTACATAAAACAAAAATGTTCTTGAATAATTACCAATATGTTCTTATCTGTTGATCCTTAGGTTCAAATACCACCAAAAAAAATTTCAAGTTCCAACTCTTCCATCTTAGTCCCGCTCCGGCCACGCCCATATTTTATTGGTTTCTTATACAGGTAAAATATCTAGAATCGGCTTTTTTAGTATGAAGGAGTAATGTTGGCTGTTTAAGATTCGTTATTCAAATATAAATGTCATAAAGGCATTTCGTTTAATGTGGGTTTTAAGTTCTGGTGATGATGAGAACCACGCCCTGAATATCTCCACCAAGGATCAACTTTACCAGCTCCAGCAGTTCCTTGTAGTCTCCTCGGGGTAGGTGAGACTCTTGATCGAGTTTGCTGTTGACGTACTCCAAGATGTCCGCGACGTCTTCCTTGAAGTAGGAGGGGATGTCGGGTAGCCGTCTGTCTCCAAGGTTTAGACTGTTCCAAGAACAGATCTTCAGGATCTTGAACGTTGTCACTTCCGGCCCGGAGGTCACTCCAAAGATGGTCGTGAATGCCCCTCCGATTATCAACTCCAGGATATGATGTCTGCAGGCGAGCCACAGCAGCTGTAGGTGAAGGAGGTTCTGGAGGATGGTGCAGCTCCCGTTATTGACTCCAGTATTAGAGGATGTTGTATCAAAACCGCAGGCTATGATCTTGTCTGCAACCTCCCAGCTGTCGAGGTAGTCCTTCACCATCTCCGCTTCTGCTCTTCCAGTGGAGTTTTCTGTAGGAGGAATTCCAAGGATCTGGCTCTTCTTGGATGAGGATTACTGCAAGCCTTTTGACCTGTAGATGGTGGAAATTAATATAAAATTGAATTATTATTGTTTAAATCACAATTGACAATTGTAATTCAAAGTTCAACTACTGTAATTCTAATAACTCTTACCTTTCCGAATCCTCCAAGCTCAGCTGTCTCCTCCACCGTGGTTTGTAGCAGCAGCAAGGATCCCGGTGAGCTGTGTCGACGATAGATTCAGTCTGTCCGCAGCTGGACCGAGCTTCTCTACGAATCGTTTGGAGATTGCTATCGTAGTGCCTCTGGAAGCACAGGGGCGTTTAGGAGTGTACTCCTCCTGAAGGCTGGTGTCCAGTTGGGAATCGTCTGAGGACATGGAGGTAGAGAGGAAAGTAGTAGAAGTGGAGGACTCTGCTAAGGAGTATCGTTTGAGGGACTCCTCTCTTGCTAGCTTCTTTTCCAGGCTCTTCTGAAGGTTGAGGTCGGGCGTAGAGCTGATTGTCTTCTTCCAGTGGTTCTGAAGGAAGTCGCGGTCTTCATCGGTAATCAGCTTAGAGGACTGAAGGGATTTAACTGTAATGTCGAAAAGCGCCTCTAGGGAATTCAGGAACGCCACTTCTTTCATCTTGAAGGACTGCTTTTGTCGTCTGACTGCTGGAACCTTAGTGAGGTCTTGGTGAGAGGTTCGTAGAGCTTTGATATCCTTAATGATGTTAGGGGAGTGCTTGAGGATATCGCCATACCCAGCATATTCCCATAGTTCGATTAGTTCGTTCTTCACTTGAACACAAGCTGCGGATAGTGTTGACGATCCATCACCTGCAGTCTTCTCAAGCTCAAAGAAGAGCCTTCTCAGAACAGTTCCTTTGGTGGGAAGTTTTGAGAAGGAAAGTTTTTCCAGGAGAGTACCAACCCAAGGGACTTCTCTGCGGGGTTGCTTTCGTTTTCCAAGGATAGTAGTCATGTTGTTGGCTGTAGTATAGTCCTTGAAACATGGTCTTCCTTTTTATATGATCCGGAGCCATAAACCAGTGTCAACTAAGCATATTTGACCCACCTAATACCACTTGACACAGTCACCACTCACCAGCTCACCTATTACTACTTGACACTAGTTTAAACTTACCGTGTTCTCTATGACAGGGCGGTTTGTATTAACACACTTTATCTCAAGGAGAAGGTAGAAGAAAATTGATATCATTTAACATCAAACCATTAAATAAACTCAAAAAATACGGTTTTCCGAAATTTTTATGACTTATTTTTCTAAAATGGGCGTGGTCATCAAAGGGCGTGGTTCTCATCATCACCAGAACTTAAAACCCACATTAAACGAAATGCCTTTATGACATTTATATTTGAATAACGAATCTTAAACAGCCAACATTACTCCTTCATACTAAAAAAGCCGATTCTAGATATTTTACCTGTATAAGAAACCAATAAAATATGGGCGTGGCCGGAGCGGGACTAAGATGGAAGAGTTGGAACTTGAAATTTTTTTTGGTGGTATTTGAACCTAGGGATCAACAGATAAGAACATATTGGTAATTATTCAAGAACATTTTTGTTTTATGAACCGGTCTAGTAGGCATCATGTAGCCTCCAGGCTCGACAAACCCCGACAAACCCCGACATATCCCGACAAACGGGGTTTGTCGGGGTTTGTCGAGGGGTTTTGCCTCGGGCCCACCGGCTACATGAGGCCTTCTTGTATAGTGTTTTTCCACGTAAAGCTTGATGACTCCGTCTCGGCTTTTTGTTGGGAGACTCAAAAAAAAAAAAAAAAAAAAAAAAAAAAAAAAAACCTCCAGGCTCGACAAACCGGAAACCCCGTCAAACCCCGTCAAACCCTGACAAACCCCGACAAACCCTGACAAATCCCGAAAAACCCCGACGTGTCAAGATATGTCGTATCATGTCGGGCCCACCGGCTACATGATGCCTTACTGTCACTGTTACTGTTGCTGTTACATTTTATAGACATACTAAATAACTAATAAATATTAACTAAAAGATAACTTATGTTATTAACCAAATAACTAATAAATATCAACTAAAATATAACTAATGTTATCAACTAGAAGATTACTAATGCTATTAACTAAATAACTAATGTTATTAACTAAAAGATAACTAATGTTATTAACTAAATAACTAATAAATATTAACTAAAATTAACTAATGTTATTAACTAAATAACTAATAAATATTAACTAAAAGATAACTAATATTATTAACTAAAAGATCACTAATGTTATCAACTAAATAACTAATTATGTTATTAACTAAAAACACTCTCCCACCTGGTAGTGATAGCTGCACATTATCTCTATATCTTTATCTAAACTACTGATCCTATCAGTAAGACAGTCTGCAAACTGACTCTCAAATCCTCCCTCGTAAACTGCTCTTACTGTGGGCGTGATCTGTGGAGTAATTAACTAATTAACTAATTAACTAATTAACTAATTAACTAAGTAGTTATGAAGCTCGTAGTGCGTGTAGTAAGTACTAACTAGATTAAATTTTGGAGGAACAAGCATGTTTACAGTACCCTTATCTTGTGCAACTAACTCAATTACTGACTAATGAGGTACAGGCCCGGTACAGGTGATTACTGACTAATTACTGACTAATTACTGACAATTACCTGGGTCTCACTGCTCTCTAGTTCTGATAACAGATGATTACCTGGGTCTCACTGCTCTCTAGTTCTGATAACAGATGATTGATGTGCGTTTTTACGGAGTCTGTCGTCTCCGGGTTAGCTTCCTCCGCCATATCACTTATCACGTGACACAAACTAACCAATCAGAGGGCTGTATTTTATCACGTGGAACAAGGAAACCAATCAGAGGGCTGTATGTTGGTCACGTGATGCTATTAGTCAGTTAAACCAGGCTAACAACTCCCCTTACCTACTCATCACAGCTGTGAAGAAGATTTGTTGTAATAATATAACAAGATAATGGAGTATTGGAAAGCGAGTACAGTAGTCTGTAGTAGTTACTACTATAGTAACTATAGTTACTATACTATAGTTACTATAGTTACTATAGTTACTATAGTTACTATAGTTACTATACTATAGTTACTATACTATAGTTAATACTCGCTATAGTATATTAGTAGTAAAATTAGTACAGGGTGGGCCAAAAGTCAGTGTGCAAACGTTGGCCTTAATAGCTCAGTCACTGAGTGCCCAATTGAAATACTTCCTTCTGGTATGACTTAGTACCACCACTGGTTCGAGGAATTTGTCAACTCGAAAAATATTCGCGTTCATTTTTTTCAAATGGAGGTTCATTTTCGCATTTATTTGATAGTTTGAATAGTCGGATCAAGCTAAATGTTATTGAATTGTGTTTGGCCATTCGAATTACGTTTGTCCTGAAAGAATTAGAACTGTAGCTTCTCAGATGACCGAGATATGAAGCATAACGAGTTTATTCATTACGTGTGATCAGGTGATTGGTTTACCTAATCACGTGATAAGGTGACCCCGTTAACTACATGTTTTCAGATCATATGCAACATTTGATAATCTACCGTCTCTGAAAAAAATAGGCGTTCATGATGTTCAGAGAAAACAATATAGGTGTTTTAATATTGAATGGGCGTGGTCTAAAATATTCGAATTTTCAAATCGACGGAATCCTCGAACCAGTAAGTACAGTATGCCATCTGCAAAGCAACAGCTCTCAAATATAAAACACGGCGGAGGTATAAGACCCAACGTTTGCACACTGACTTTTGGCCCACCCTGTATTAAAGTGAAAATAATTCATAGAAAATATAATTTCATCTGAATATAGATTATAGGTCTTATCAAACTAAGTGAATGTCACCAAAAACTCAAAATAGCATCAAATAACTTAGCACACACTTTTCAAAACCAAAGCAGATCAAAATACCTCACAGTACGATAAAATAAACTTTAAATTATTAATCTTAAACACGGACCACATTCAGATTTATAGCAGGCCCAACAATTTTGGACGACTTGAAAAACATCTCATTTTAGCTCAAAGAGATGATATGATGTGTATCATACAGCCTAAATATTGTTTCCACTTTACCGCCCCGGCCCCTGTTTAATTTACACTGTGAAGTATCTTAACAATTTTATACAGTAAACTGGAAGTGAAAGTCTGTTCACACATGTCTAACAACATCAATCATCAAATAGAAACACAGAGCCGTTCTTCACAAGTACAAACATCCTAACAATTTTATATACAAAAAATATACAAAAATCAAACGACCTTCATAAACGGAACATTTTGGCAGATAGAAAAGTCTAAAATTGGTGCCTTTTTCGAGTCCTTGCAGTGACCATTTACAACAAGGCCCATTTGAACGCAGTTCATTTTAACTACTTTAGACAAGCAGTCCACTGAATGTTGAGGAGGGATTCGGTCTAGAACTTGTTTTACTGAAGTAAAGTTATCTAAAGATTCCTGAAATAGTTCCTGCTCCTGGCCGCTCGGCGCGTTGGCTATTATATAGGACAGGGAGGGGTACTTGGAGATCTCGAGAGGGATCGGCATGGAGATGTTGAAGGGGAGGAAGCGCTGTCTGAATCTCAGCTCTTCGTTATCATATTTCTTATCTAAATAACTATCTAGTTTACCTGGAATAATAGGATTAATAAATAAATAATAATAAAATTTGGTAGCTTAAACACAAACTCTAAGCCCAGTGGATAAACCACAAAACTTATGCTCTATTGTATGAAACAAAGATACTAGATCAAGATAACTATCAAGGAGTGTATGCATGGGACATAAAAAGTTTTGGAACGAAGATGACATGCTTATGAAGCGAGCTATCAACATGTACTATCTCAATAGGATCGTACATTTAGACGACAACAGTGTCACCGCCCCCCCCCCCCCCCCCCCCGGCCCCCCAGTACAGAGTACACGATACATTCAGTTATCTAATCTAACCTTGTATAGCGTAAAAGTGAAAGTGTTAGTTATCTAATATAGCATGGAAGTGAAAGTGTTTGTTTACCTTGTATAGCGAACCCCTCTAAAGCCTTAATGTACCCATGTGACATCATCTGATAGACGTTAGTCATTTGTAGGACCATGTGATTAGTTTTCTCTTTCTTCTTTCTCTTCATGTTCTTGTTCCGTTTAGCTAGTTTCTTCTCTAATGCTTCTCCAGCTAGGACCTGATAAAGTGAAAGTGAAAGTGATTTGTTTTGTTTAGTTAGTCTCTCCTGCTAGCACCTGTCCGTGCACATTTGTACAGTGCACTGTAACCACGGCAACCATTGTTCAGTGTTCACCTTGGAACCGGGTAAACAGTGCATTGTATAAAGTAAGTGTTATTAAGTATGTAAGTATGTAAGTTTGTAAGTATGTAAGTATGTAAGTATGTAAGTATGCAAGTATGCAAGTATGTAAGTATGCAAGTATGTAAGTATGTAAGTATGTAAGTATTTAAATATGTATAATGTAAGTATGTAAGTATGTAAGTATTTAAGTATGTAAGTATGTAAGTATAAAAGTATGTAAGTATGTAAGTTTGTAAGTATGTAAGTATGTAAGTATGTAAGTATGTAAGTATGTAAGTATGTAAGTATGTAAGTATGTAAGTATGTAAGTTTGTAAGTATGTAGGTATGTAAGTATGTAAGTATGTAAGTATATAAGTATGTAAGTATGTAAGTATGTGAACATGAATTTGTCACTGACCTGATCCTGACCACATATAATAGTCTGTCTGAGCCAACTAAACAAGTACTCCAGGTAGCAGTAAATGTAGTGAGCCTCGTGAATACCGTAGAGTTCTAGATCCCAGCCTAGCAACAAGTACTTTATCATTACCTGGGATTATAGTTAATAGTACTAGCCTAGGTTATATTAGTTATATTACACTTCTTTGGAGGGGACAGTTCTTTTTAACTGCATTTAGATACTTAACCATTATATTAACATAATTATTATAAATATTAACCAAAATAAAGTTCACTATATAAACAGAGTCATTGACAATGTAAATACAGCAGTATCCTAGTAGTAATGCTAACACTAATGCTTACCTCCACAGTTATAAAGAGGACCCAGCAACTGTAACTTCTCATATGATTAGCTGAGTTATCATTATTAGACAGGTACGCATGCAGCATGTTATCGAAGTTCTCTGACTTCTTATACAGGTCGCTAAGATCAGGTAGCAGTGCACCTAGCTTGCGTCTCTGCCGTCCCTTATTATGACACATTGCTTGTAGATAGTCCTGTATACACAGTGCTGTACCGTCTAGGAAGTTGTTTACTAGCGACTTGACGTTAGCATCGCTCATATACGGGGGGAAGAAGGAAACAGGGTAGGAGAAGGTTTTAATCTCCTCCTTTATTATCTTAGTGAACGGTTCCTCTCCCAGCACCTTGTTTCCCATCAAGAACACGTAAAAAAGACAAGAACGTGATAAAACACAAGGGTTCTGTTCAGAGAACCTGACGAAGAACCTGATGATACTGGAGAGAGTTAAACTATCACTAATCTTAGTGACCAACTCTATGTGAGCAAACAGTCTCATGAGATACTCACACATAGCGTCCCTCTCCATTATCTCTATATATCTGGGAGGGGTCGAGGACAACAGTTTCTGGTTCACTAAGTACTCGAAGCCCACCATTTGACGGTGTTTCTGGTTAGTGACCACCGCCTGAGTGCCTATTTGTAAGGATGACTTTATGGGTGAGACAGTGTGGAAGAGAACTTTAAGATCTCCCTTCAGAGGTTCCATGTTCTTACGCTCAAACATCTGGATCTTGTGTAGAACTATAACAAAGTACTTCCAGAATGTTAGTCTCTTTAAAATAGCGTCCTCCACTGGCAGAATATCCTGACCTCTCTTTACCTTCCTGTTTAACTCATCCTCTCCGTCCTTTAACAAGGAAATAACCTTACTAGTAGACATATTAGGAGACAGGTTGTATCCGTACGTGCAGGTAAGAAAGTCCTCCTCCTCATAGCACCCCGCAGTGGATATAATACAGTAAATAAGCTCACAACACTTGAGCGCAGCGTTACAGATGCTCACTAACACAGGGGACTCTATCTGGGGTATAGAGTGTAGGTAGAGGCATGTTAGCACTGTTTGTGCCATGCTGTGTCCGTTTAACCAGGTACACACACACGATAATATCTCGTCTGATATCCCGATAATGTCCTCAGTGCCCGGGTTCAAAGGTAATATTCCCTGTTCAATAGCCTCCTCAGCGCTGGAGACCTGGCATAATTCCTTGTTGCACAACATTCCCGCATCCATTTTAGCGTCCATTAATTCTATTGCTGACATTGCCTCGAATAAACCAAAGTTATCGTCCTTAACAAGGTGTCCTATGGGAGGGTGCGGGAGACGGAGGCGAATGCCTTGGTGATGTCCACCCATTCGTAGTGAGGCGGACTTGACATTCCTGCAATACAGTATACATTTAGTACATTATACATTATATTGTATTTACAGTGTGCATGTTATAATCGTATAATGTGTAATAATAAATTATAACGTGTTTTGTGTACGAATGTGATCTTTCATCCACACGCATACAAACCGGCGCATGTATTCACTTGATACCCTTGCTTTCATAATATCAAATATTTAAATTTAAATTGACCTGTTTATATTACCTCTCCAAATAGAAGAAAACAATTGTCACCCCAAACAAGAAAACCCACAAATCTTATAATAAATTAAAAACCCAAAAGAATTGACAAGTTAAGCAGAGTTAGAGTTAGGTCCCTTCTTCCGTCCGAACTGACTAACAGCAGTGCTGAACCTCCTGTTGTACTGGATTCTCCTCTTGCACCTTCCTGTCCTCTTCTTCTTCTTGTCTTCCATCGCAGCTACCTTAGGGGTCTGTCCCTTAACTTTACCAGCACGAGCTAGAGAACCGTGCACTTTACCCCCCAACAAGCGACCAGTAAGACAGAGAGTGCTGTTATCTGGTACACACTCACACAGGATCACATTATCAGACAGAAGGTTACCAGCGTGAGTAATCACCTGCTCTTCTACAGGGACCTGGTGGGAGAGTGTCTCCTTTAGCTGGAGCAGGGTGGTGGTGGGCTCTACTGTCACGCACCGGGTCTCATCTCCTTGGATAAACAGTTGCATGGTGGTACTACACTGGGGGGTGTTTATTAGAATATAGTCATTTGTTAATTATTCCTAACTAATCAATTATCTGTTAATTATTCCTAACTTATCAATTATCTGTTCATTATTTAATTATTAATTATATTTAATGGGTATATTCAAGTTGTTGAGTAAGTTTCCCAAGGTTGCTTTAATCAGTTATTTAAACGTTAAGTGTAAGGGGTCCTGGGCTGAGCTAGAGTATATTACGGTGAGTGATAATGTAGGCAATCAAATAATATTTATGTAATGCCTTCTTAATTCTTGAGAAATTTTTATAAGTGTCAAAAATCACCAACTCGAGATCCCCTGCCCTCAGGGCCTACTGAACGAAGAGTAAAATGCAGATGTTGTTAAAATGTTGATTATATATGTTTGCTGTAATATATAACATAGTACTAATAGTGGTAATAAATTCCAAGCTAGAGCATATTAACGAGACACATTGAACGAGAAAAGACAAAACTTTGCTCCCTATAATTATAAAAGCTCCTATAAACTGAATGACTGTGGTTGATGATGAAAATAAAGAGCATCCCTCGCTCTTTGAAAAGGGGATCGGTAACGCGTAGTCAGATTTTAAAATTTAAATGAATTAATAATACCGTCTTTTGATGATAAAGATTTTGTTGAAAACTTCAAAAATCAATTTCTTGTTCTTCTAAGTAAGAGAAGAAAACAGAATTACACAAATGTAAGCGTAGGTTTGACGGTACAAGAAATTACAGGTTACTCATTGGTAACTTACAGGTTACTAATCGGTTACGAACAGGTTACTAATCGGTCACTATGTTAGTAATTATTAGATAATCGGCTCACGTGAAAGGGTGCTTAACTTTAACACCTCATACTTAAAAATACACATGATTAAAAGTTATACTTAACAACTAACCAATTATAATTAGCACTGTTTAATAATTGAAAAGCAGAAATGATAATTGTCAAAGCAAATATATTCAAATAAATATTCCATCTAGACAGAAGCTTAATAAGATGGTATCAGGCATGCCTAGTTACCATGGTTACAGTTAGTAACCATGGTAACTAGATGGTATGAAAATATTATGGTAACCAATGCAAGGTATGGACCAGTGAAGCATGCTTACCTATATAATTCGTATTACACTAGTAAACACCACTTTTAATCGTATGTCGTGGTTATATTGAATTTAGATTTACAGTTCAGTTCTTATTTGTAATAGTCGCCGGAGAAAAATCGTCACATTCGTTTGAAATGGCCCATGAGTTCAACGGTTAACTAATCAACTTATTAATTAATTAACTTATTAATTAATTAATTAACTTGTTAAATCTGCGTCGTAGGGCGGTGGAGAAGGAAATAATTTCACTTTAAGATTTGCTAGAAATTAGGACTCTGAGAGCTTAGCCAGTTCGTTGGTGTAGATAGCGACTGATTCCTCGTCGAAGAGAACGAAGTAGACTTGTTTAATGGTGGATGCCATGACGCTAACGAAATAGTTTGAGATAGCTTTCAGGATCAGCTGGGCTGCAGTCTGCTTTGGGAATCCATTCCTGGGAGGATTATCAGTTATTCACTTGTAAATCAACATTCAACAACTTTTACGTGACTCTCACAAAGAATTTGGGAAAATCCAACAATTCAAAATACCAAAACATACCAAAAAATATCATGTATAGTATTGAGTCGTAGTATTACAGTAGTAGTATAGTTACTAATTACTACTCGGAAACTGAGTAGATTTTAACAAGCAGTAACTATAAAAACTATGGTAACTATGGTAACTGTGACTCACTGTCCGGATGAGATACTAGGGAAAGCTATGGATGCGAACTTAGCACCGTCAGCAAGGGACAATGCATTCTTGATAGTCTGTTCCAGGGCCTCCTGTTGCGCGCGTCCTCCGTCCCCGTACTCAGGACCGTTAACATGGATAACGTGCTCGGAAGACAGGTTGTGTCCTGTGGACATTACAGCTTCACTGGGTTTCAGGGAGCCGTGAGCTGCTGCTATATCCGACACTTCCTCCAGGTAACCCTAATTAGAAGTGGTTAGAAGTAATTAGAAGTAATTAGTAGGTTCCAATTTTAGAGTATGATTCAAAGTTTAAATTCTCAACTAATTAGCTAATTAACTAATTAACAAATAGTTACCTGTCCAGCTCCCTCTCTGATAGCACTGCCGCAAGACCCAGTCATGTTCCAGTTAGAGTTGGTGGGATGCACAATAGCATCAGCCCCTACCGTGGCAATGTCTCCCTGTATCACTGTCAGCTTCTGTCCCAAGAACAAGGTTTTCTCTGATAACAACGTTACTCCTGTGGAAATATTTGTTAGACTTTGTTGTCATGGTAACTAGTATACTTCCTCAACAGTAACTTGTTACTCAATTGTTCCTGTGTAACTGGTAAGTGAACGGAAAGAGTTAGCTAATATACTGCAGCAACAGTTCTGTTCTGTCTTCAGTGACCCCAACTGCCCGGATAAGTCACTACCTGCATTTACAGTACCACCTCTCACTAGTAGGGATACAGAACGGGTACTCACACCTAACCACATCTTGGAAGCTGAATATGAGATTAAGCTGGACTCTGCACCGGGGCCTGATGGTATTTCTGCTATTCTCCTCAAAAGATGTGCTTCAAGCTTAAGTGTCTCAGCTCTGGACGATGTTATAAATAATTTTACCTGTTGATTTGGTCTTGGCAGCTTTCTTCAGGGTCGTGACAGCTTTAGCTTTGTTGACAACTTTGTCAGCCTTGTCTGCAACCTTCAGAGGTACGGCCTTGTTCAATCGTTTCACTTCTTTTGTGGGTTTCTTGGATGACTTCTTTACCTGTTCAATTAGAGATACTAGCAGGAACCCGTATAATATAACCCTAAACGGTGTCAAGACTCAAAATACTAAAATAATTATTACCTATTTAAGGGGACATACACCCAAACCTTTTTTGCCGGGACCCGGGATTTGAATTCATATTATGAAAGTATAGATTACAACTGTAAGATTTGAGGCATTGAAAATTTTTTTTGAGAGTACGCACATTCGAAAAAAAAATTATTTTCTTTTTCGAAAGTTTTGGAAATTTTGAGAAGTCTGTCACTGTAATAGCGATATTTCAGTCATTTTAAACGTTTTTTTGCTGATTTTTTAACTGAACATTATTTACAATCCGTACAATAAGCCCTGTAAAGGATTTTATAATTAAAGAATAGATGACGAAGTTACAGACCAAACAAGGTCGAGTGAAGCAAAATAAAAATTTTTGTAAAAATCAAAGTTGTATATTTTACCATTCACCCAGGTCATAAGATATCGCTTCACAAATTCTTGTGAGTGTAGCTGATGATCATATCCAACTTTTTGGAACAGGATTTCTCTCAATTTTGAGTTTTAAGGTATGAAATGTGGCCTCAAACGACTTCGTAAAATTCAGCGTAAAAAAGGGCCAAACATGGCAGATTTAAGGCTTAAAATGCCTATAACTCAAAAAGCATCAATTTTTTTTGAAATAATTTTTACAGAATCGTAATCAGCTTAAAAATACGAATCTTTTAGTACCAAATAGGTTATTTTAGAAGACAAATTGTCTTAAATAATTTTCTAGCTTGAACACAAGGGTCCCCCCTAGTATAAATTTTGTACAAATTGTACACATTTTTTACAAATTTTGTGTCTTAAATTATTATAAATTTGGTACTAAAAGATTCGTCTTCTCAAGCTGATTACGATTCTGTAAAAATTATTTCAAAAAATTGATGCTTTTTGAGATATAGGCATCTTAAGCCTTAAATCTGCCATGTTTGGCCCTTTTTTACGATGAATGTTACTAAGTCGTTTGAGGCCACATTTCATACCTTAAAACTCAAAATTGAGAGAAATCCTGTTCCAAAAAGTTGGATATGATCATCAGCTACACTCACAAGAATTTATGAAGCGATATCTTATGACCTGGGTAAATGGTAAAATATACAACTTTGATTTTTACAAAAATTTCAATTTTGCCTTTCTCGACCTTGTTTGGTCTGTAAATTCGTCATCTATTCTTTAATTATAAAATCCTTCAAAGGGCTTCTTGTAAGGATTGTAAATAATGTTCAGTTAAAAAATCAGCCAAAAAATGTTTAAAATGACTGAAATATCGCTATTACAGTGACAGACTTCTCAAAATTTCCAAAACTTTCGAAAAAGAAAATAATTTTTTTTTCGAATGTGCGTACTCTCAAAAAAAATTTTCAATGCCTCAAATCTTACAGTTGTAATCTATACTTTCATAATATGAAGTCAAATCCCGGGTCCCGGAAAAAAAGGTTTTGGTGTATGTCCCCTTAATTGGCGTTTTTGACACCACTTGGGGGTCCAAATTTTCGGTTCTAAAATCATTATTCCTTGGCCAATTTTTTATTTTTTCATGCTGATTTGAAAGCCATTAAAGCATTTGACCCAGCCAAAAAAGTTCCAGTTGTATATCTTTTACGGTTTATGCGGAAAGTCGCGTTAAAGTTGATGCCGTGGTGTCAGTAAAATGGCACAGATATATATATATCGTCTCGCTTTATATATAGTAAGATGAAGCATTTGTCATATTTACTTTAGTTAGACGGGTTACTACTACATATTTACTAAGATGTTCCACAGCTACGGGAACCACAACTTATATTATTAATTAACGGACAAATTGGAGAAATATCCACCTTCTTTTTCTCTTCCCCTTCTTTAGGGAAGCCCAGTCCGTTAGCAGCAGCAATAGCTTTCTTAGTGAAGTTAGCTTTCTTCTGGAGTAACACGGGGTTGATGTTAGGGATTACCCCTCCGGAGGGTATTGTTACATTTTTTAACAGCTGAAACATTAAACAAAATCAGCATCCACATAAACACTGAAAGAATTAACTCAATTTAGAATTAGTTTGATGCTGGATTTGTATTTCACCACTGTAATTACTGGGGGGGGGGGGGGGGGGGGGGGTCCAACTCAAAAAAATACGAATGCGAATTTCAAATTTTAGGGGTGCGTTCGTATTTTTTTGAGTTGGACCCCCCCCCCCCCCCCCAATTACTATGTAAATGGGATCCAAGTGTTATGATATTATAGGTACTGCCACTAATGACTAAACCCTACAATCACTGGCAATAAGGAATAAGGGAGAGGTAGGATGGTCTGACCTTGTGCAATTCCTCGTCGTGTCCAACTGCGAGCAGTATGTGTCGGGGCACAATCCTCTTCTTCTTGTGATCACGTGATGCATTCCCAGCCAACTCCAATACCTGGCAGCAACTCTACGTTAGCTTAGTAGTCTGTTTAAAAGGAAACACTACTTTCAATAGGTGGCTCCCTTTAATATAATTTACATTGATTAATTTTGGAAATATGAATAATTACAAAATTACATGAGCACAGAGTCAGAGTTAGATCATATCTAGATATGTTAATGAAACTGATACATTATAATTACTATTTAAAAATCTAAAATTACTTAACCTCTAGCAAGCACCTTGTAAACATGAATTGGGTGTTCACATGAACTTTGTTTTCCTATTCAATAATTAAAATGTTTAAAATAGTGCTTCTTATATGTTGCAGGATGCTTCCTAACCTCAGCACAGAGATACTCCATAACATCTGCCATGTAAACAGGAGCGGTTACCTGGTTACCTGGTTACCTGGTTACCTGGTTACCTGGTTACCTGGTTACCTGGTTACCTGGTTACCTGGTTACCTGGTTACCTGGTTACATGTGATACTAACCTCAGCACAGAGATACTCCATAACTGCTGCCATGTAAACTGGAGCGCCTGCAGCTATCCTATATTTGAAGAAAGGGCCTGCTCGCATGAAGCGCAGCACACGGCTGACGGGGAATATGATACCCGCCCGCTGAGTCTTGGTCCGGCTTGTGGACCTCTTTGACTGGGCTACTTCTCTTCCCGACATCCTGGCTGAGATGATTTTCATTATTTAAATTGTGTTACAAAATTTCATGACCGAACTCAACTATTATATGTAATTTTTCAATTGCAACAGATTTGATTTGCAAAAAATAAAATGTTTCGAACAGTATACAGATAATTTCAGTAATGGTAATTGTCTAGCTATAAGGATAGACAGTAGACACCCTCGAAAAATCAATAAACCAATTCAATAGATTAAATGCTATAATAATGCTAAAAAAATATAACCCTTTGTAATAAAAAAATGGTCTACTAAAAATAAAATTCACATCACAACAAAAAAACAGTTTAGACCCCACCTAACAAGCACTCCATGACCTGTTTAAGGTTTAGGAGTGTTGATCAGGTTAAGGTCCAAATTCACTAATTCGATTTACTCCTATAATTCACAAATAATAATATTAATAATATATTTCATACAATGTGAAGATGTTTGTTTGTTTGGGGACTGGTTTTTGGTACACCGGCCAATGTTTACATAATCATATGATACATAAAAATATAATTTTATTTAATATACGTGAATATAAAAATTGAAAATTATGATGTAACCTTTTATGTTTATTCATTTAAAATTTTATTAACATAGTGACAAATAATTTGATTTGATACAACAGATGATCACACTGTCACACTGTTTTATATAAGCTGCTTGTGTCGAATTAACGATTAGTGGGCAGTGTAGAGTCGATAGTATAGTGCTCTGTATCAGTATAGTGCTCTTGTTTGAAGTTAAAACAAATAAGAATAATAATAATAACTGAGCCCATATCTTATCAGTACCTGCTAGCGCTATCAATATGACGCTATCAATATGACAGTGAATGGGCAGTGAAAAATGTGGCATATGGTTGATAGTGACTAGTGTGCTAACTGTCTAAAGACCACGGTTACTATAAATGACTTAGAGTTAGGGTTCAAGCTCTACCCTCATCAATACTCTAGGGAGGAGCCTTATTAGGATAATTGACACATTAAAAAAAGGAAAAAAAGGGGGGGACCCCCAACCCATGTAGCTGAGACACCTCACAGCAAGTAGACCAAAGTGGCTGTTGCTTGTGATCACTGCATCAACTACCCGCCGAAGCGGTGGGTTGGGAGTCCCCCCTGGGATCATTTTGTCCGTAAAATTGTATACAATATAAAATAGTACAGTAAAATATCTACAAAATTTACATAAACAAATCTAGGAGACCTCAAAGCTCGTCTTCTGGGGGATGAGGTTGAAGGATACATCTTGCAATTCAAGATGTGTCGGCCTGTGTTCCGAGGCAATGATACTCCACTGGGTATAGTAAAAGAGTGTTCAAAGGATTAGCACAAGTACATGTAGTTAACAATATATCCTGAGAGATAACAAAGTTAAGGTAACAGTATATAAGCCAAAGGTCCTATAATATAAACTAAAGGTGTAATATATAGGACTGGAAATATATAGCCTGACATTACTCTCCCCTTAAAAAAAATCTACCTCCCTTCAAAGTGAATGCATAAAAACTTTATAAGATCCTATAAGTGCTCAATATTCATATGAAATAGATATAATAAAGTCTCCCAGGATTAAATTCTCAAATATTGTCAAATAAATTAAAAATACAAATAACCCATGCGCATGGGAATTCAATAGTCAAAATAACTTATTTATAAAAATTGACTTAAAATTAGCAAATTCGTAGAAAAATATAAATTTCAATGATAAATCTGTTTTATCTTTCCATTCAATAATAGAATTGTATCCTTTCAATAACATATTCAAGTTTATAAATTTATAAATTATGTGACCTATAACTGGTTGATTAGTCTAGTTGGGGGTCTGACTACCCTCCCTGATCTGGTGGTTGTAGTTGTTGAGGGTTCTGTAGGTGGGGATGATGGTGCCGGCTGTGGAGCTGATGGGGCAAATACTGCACTCGTTGGCATGTTGAAAACATTGTTCGCAAATTGTTGCCGATCTATCAGTGGTAAGTTATGCTGAGGGAGACTGTTATCAACATAAACTTTTCCTGCTGGTTCCTGAGGGTTTTGTACCGGAACTGAGCTACCCATAACCATAGAGGCATCCTGCTTCTTGCCTGCAGGCTGAATCTGGTCGTGATGAACTACCTTGGATTTGCCGGAAACGAAGTTTACAATTCCCCAGCATGATTTTCCAATCTTCTTGGAGATCTCGAAAATTTCATCCCATATTGGATTCATCTTGGGATATTCACCATGGTTTCTTTTTAAAAGCACCCAGTCCCCGACCTGGTATTCGTTGACGTTAGTAGTCTTGTTAGCCTGTTTCTGATAGCTTAGTCGAGACTCCTGCTTGTTGAGAGGGATGTTTTGCCTAACCAACCGTGTGTCTTGAGCTTCTTTTTGATTGACACCCAACCTATTGTCGATTGGCAAGTTTGCTGACACTCCGTAAGCAGCCTCGAAAGGAGAGAATTTCGAAGATTTGTTTTGAGTGTTATTAAACATCAATATCGCTTCTGGCAGGAGCTCATCCCATTGAGTAATAGGGATGCCTCTAGATAGACACATAGATCGCAAAATTGTTTTGAGGGACCCAATAGCTCTTTCTGCACTGCCATTACCAGCTGGATGATATGCAGAAGATCGGAGCTTTTTGATTGCAAATTCTTCACATAGTTGTCTAACTTTGGTGCCATCGACATTACTTCCCTGATCTGATTGAAGTAATTTAGGTAGCCCATAGTAGCTGAACCATCTGCACCATAATGCGTCCACGACTGTCTCAGCCCGTGCATTGGGTAAAGCTATTGCTGTCATCAGCTTGGTGAATATATCTGTCACCAAAAGAAAGCTTCCGTTACCTCTCCTGGACACCGGCATGGATGCTAGATCCATAGAAATCATCTCAAAGATCTTCTCAACCTCTCTATGATCCTGCACTGGTGCTTTAGGCTTAGGTCCATGTTTGCACTGTGTGCATGTTCTACAGTTGGAAACAAAGGACTCCACTTGTTTCCTCATACCTCTCCAATAGAACCTTTCAGATAGCATCAGGCAGGTATTATCGATTCCTGGGTGGCCTTGTCCGTGGTACTCTTGGATGATCTTTGGGGCAATCCCCTGAGGTACAATGACTCGGGAGCCTTTGCATAGTAGGTTATTAGAGACTTTCAGGTTCAAGAATTTCCTGAATAAACCTTTATCCACAATCTTGTCCTGACGGAGTGTTTCTATTGCTTCAGCAATATCTTTGTCTCTCATCTGAGCCTCTCGGAGCAGATTCTCCCCTAACACAAACACTGAAGGGTCTTCTGATGGGGCATCACTCCCCATTATTCTGCTCAAGTAATCTGCTTCCTGGTTGTCCGCTCCCTTCAGGTACTTGATGCAGTAATCAAGATTTTCCAACTCTAATATCCAACGGCCGATTTTCCCTCTGGGATCTTTCTGTCTATGAATGTTCCTCAGTGGCTCATGATCCGAATAGAACGTGATCTTTTCATAGCAAAAAGCTTTCCATTTTCTGCTAGCACTTATGATACCATAAAGTTCTCGCTCTGTAGCAGACCAGTTCTTTGTATTCTTCTGGTTAAGGGTCTCGGAGTGATAACCAATGGGTTTGAACGAACCATCCCCATCATACTGCCCAAGCACACTCCCCACTGCAATCTTAGAGGCGTCTGTTCTTATCACAAATGGCTTAGACCAATCTGGTATGAACAGCGAAAGAGCAGCATGAAAGGTGGTCTTTAACTTGTTAAATGCAGCTTGTTCTTGACTTGTCCAAACAAACGGGACCTTTGACGATGTTAGGCGATTCAACGGGGAACATATCACAGAGTACCCATCAATAAATCTGCGATTGTAATTGGCTAAGCCCAAGAAGCTTTGTAGCTCTTTCCTTGTAGTGGGAGCCGGGAATTCTTTAATCTTAGCCATGTTTTTGGTTCCTGGTTTCAGGGTTTTCCCATCTATCCTGAATCCTAAAAATTGGATCTCTTGGTACGCAAACTCACACTTGTCCTTTCTCAGTGACATGTTGTTGCTCTCCAGCACTTGCAGCAGGATCTCAAGGGTATTGATATGTTCTTCCATGGATGTGGAGCACACAATCAGGTTGTCAACATACGCATCTAAGCCGATTGCACCCTTTTCCTTGCACTCCTCTACAATCTTGTCCATACACCTCTGAAACGTTGCCTGTGCATTCTTCAATCCAAACGGCATTCTCTTAAACTGATACTTTCCCCGGGGTATACTGAATGCTGTTTTGTTACGATGACTCTCAGAGATTGGCACTGTCCAGTAGCCACTTGCCAAATCCAGCTGAGAAAAGAGGGTACACCCAAAGGCCTCATCTACAAGCTCCTCAACAGTAGGCAAAGGGTAAGTATCCTGCACCGTGTTACGATTAACCATTCTGAAATCGACAACAAATCGTTTTGAATTGTCATCCTTCGAGACCAGTAGGGGATTGCTGTTGAAAGGTGAGGAAGATGGTTCTATGATATCATGTTCTATCATTTCTGTGACCTGAGTGTCAATCTCCTTTGACCATTTTGCTGGAATTCTCCTTATTTTGCTCCTAATTGGGCGGTCATCGATACTCTTTATCTCGTGTGTGGTAGCAGAACTGCACCTGGGTGCTCTTGGATTTTTTGCAAACACCTCTGGGAAACTTTCCAAAATACTGCAGAGTTTCTCTCTTGCCTCAGATGGCAAGTTCGGGTTAATGTCATGTCCTCCCTTGTCAGCATTTAGAAAGAATATCCATTTCTCTCCCAAACGAACCTTTGAATTCTTCCAATCAAACTCAGTGCTGGAAAATTGATTTAGGAAATCTCTACCCAAGATAACCATTTCTTGATTGGTACTAAGGTTGGTTTCGTGCAGCCATACCCTGTAGTTCTGGCTTTTGTCAGAGGAGAATCTTATGTTGTATTGTTTCTTCGGACCAATCAACTGTCTACCCCCAATCCCCTGCACGGAAGTACTGCTCCCATTTTCAATCAGCACTTTATTAGTCGAAATGATAGAGATTTCTGCCCCACTGTCTACAAG